TGCAAGTGAGAGACCTGAGTTCAATTCCAGGCAGAGGGCGAAACCTTGGGCAAGTTTCTACTCCACACAGAGCCTAATAATAATCCCTCCAAAACCAAAAACAATAATAAATTGGTCATTTTCAATCTACGACTGTTTGTGGGTCATTGATGTGCGCAATTGGCTGCCACGTTCGCCCACAAATATATAGTCAATTCACTTTACAGTCTATTCTGTGAAGCGCTTTGGGACGTCCTCCCGACGTGAAATGTCCTATATCAAATGCAAGGATTATTATTATTATATTATTATAAAAATGTCCTGTGAGCATTGTTGTTTAAAATCTATGTAAGCTGCTGTGTTAAAACAGTGAAAGACAATTCCCCACAGCCAAGGGAATGTAAGCAGGATACACTACACTGTTTATAATAATAATCCTTGCATTTGATATAGCGCCTTATCATGCCTTCAAGACGTCTCAAAAAGCTTCACAGAATGTACTGTAAAGTGAATTGACTTTATATTTTGTGGGCGAAACGCGGCAGCCAGCTGCACACAGCAATATTTCACAAACCGTCCTGGATTGAGTGACCAAATTATTAATTTATTTACATTTCAAGGATTACTGCTGTTTAATAAGGAGGCCAAGATTCTAAGAAGAAAAAAAGGGTTTCCGAAGTATAAAGAAGGGAAGATGCAATAGTTTTCGGCAGCTGATAGCCGGCACGTTATGTGCCTTTAAGTTACTTGCCGCATTTGAAGATTTTTTTCAACATATCCTATTAAGTAACCCAAAAGATAAAACTACATCAGATATCAGTCTCTCCATTAGATTTTCTTGACTTGATTGATAAATGAGCCAGATGGCGTGGCATTAAAAGCCATACAGACCAGAATGGTCCCAGGTTTATCCTTGCTATGTGCAGCGTTAGCAGATCTCTGTTGGTGTGATATCAAAGGAACTATAATTGGCATTAGCATCTCTGGGTTAGACAGAGAATGAAAAACAGCAGCAGCCAAGATTCCTGCTCTTCATTCTGACCCCAGCTGGAAGCGAAGCATACACGTGTAAAGACTGGAAGGCAAGCGGGTCAGGTTTGCCATGATGGCCCTACTTTCCTCTTGATCTCTTCTCTCAAGAAGCCTTTCATCTTAATGTGGTGACTCACTGAATCCATTTCTAATATTTTAACTGAACTATGACACTTTTCCTCCCAACTCTCTTGCGAGGAAGTCTGCCTTTCCTGCTATTTTTTTCTATATTCTTTTCCATCCTGAGTTGGTATTATGTGGCAGCCTTTGTATTTTGTTGCAGTTACCAGAATGCCCTCTTTCATAAAGTATAGTCCACCAGCCTAGCCTCTATCGTTTAGTTCAGGGCTACACGCCATTTGCAGACCCATTCAGTGCCCGGACGCATTGTTCTAGACACAATCTCTAGTTTTACTTTTTCAGATTCTTTGAAGTGTTTGAGAAAGTTGAAAAAAAATGTAATTTAAAAGACATCAACTGACAACCTTAAAATGTCAAAGAATTACCAGAAATTAGGTTAAATGTTTCCCTATCTTCTTTGGATAGTGGCCAACATCTAAAAATCTGCCCACTGATGTGGATTTTTAAATGTATCTCTGCAATCAGATGATCAGGTTTAAATTACAGCAAGTCGACCGCAGATTATTGTGGATCTGCTTGACTTTGCCATCTGTTGAACCTCAGGTATTCCTTACAAACCCATCATTTCCCACCCACAACTGGTACACAAAGAATTGATACAGTAGGTGAGCTGTGGCTCAAGATTTCAGGGCATTTGACGTACCAGGAAAGTGTCCAGAATGATTTTGGCCTTTTGTCAATCTGCTCATTGCACCAGTCGAAATTCAGCAAACCTCTTCAGTGATTTGTAACACTGCAAACTGGAGTATTACCACCAAAAGGAGCTTTCTCTGCTAATGCTAAATATAGAAAAACAGATAAATACTGTATTGTACCATGGTATTTACAGATGCAAAGACTACAATCCTGTTTTCAAAAAGAAACTCAGTGTTGATTTCGGAGGGCATCAAAGCATTCTTAATTTAAATGGAAAAGTATTGTGGCTGCATTTTTGAAAGGAATTCAGAACGTGACCATAATTAGATTATGAATTTTGAAAAAAATCTTTTGAAGCTATTGATAGGGACCAGTTTTTTGCAGTTGAAAAATTGCAGTTTTTCCAGAATCATTCTCGTTTTTTAAATTTAGAAGGATGAGCACAAGCAAGAACTCATTCTTTAAAGCTTAGTGAAAAATCGAATTGTTTTATTAAGTTGGCAAGTCGGTATTTATGGAAACACAGCAAGCAGATTCAATCAGGTCATTTGTAATTCTGTTGTTGTTGGTTTTCAAAAGCCATTAAAAGGCAAACCAACATCAAGCCATTTTATTAACCATAAATTTGAAAATTATTTTTAATTCATTGGGATTATCTCTCTGGTTGGGTGTGAACACAGGAACTGTCATGGCAGTGAGCCTTACAGACCAGATAAGAAATAAACCTAATTCATGATACCTGTTGAGTTAGCCGATTCCTTTATTTGTCTGGTTGCCTAGCTGATTAGGGCAGCCTTATGAGTCCCGTGTGATCTCCCTACTCCTGTGCTGTTCAATTGACCTCCTATCCTTGGTTATTTAATTATCAGCCATTGAGACAGAGATGAAGGAGAAATTTTACCCTTAAACCTACCAGCTGCCAGTACATTAAATCAGAGAAACGCAGAGCTTTATAAAAGAATGCACTTCATTCAGACTGAAGATCACATCGTAGGTAGGTTATATTAGATTAAAGATAGACTCCCATTAACCAATTTGCTAATCTCCATTTAGTAATAGATTTACCAAAGGCCTTTTTCCTAAAAGCAAACAGCTGAGACTAATAAAAACCTTCTTTCCCTTTGTGTAATATAATAATCCTTGCATTTGATATAGTGCTTTTCACGTCTTCTAGACGTCTTAAAGCACTTCACAGAATAGACTGTAAAGTGAATTGACTGTATACTTGTGGGCGAAATGCAGCAGCCAATTGCACACAGCAGTGTCCCACAATCGTGGATTGAAACGACCAATTTATTATTTTTTTGAGGGATTATTATCAGGCGTGTGGAGTAAGGAAACTTGCCCAAGATTTCACCCTGCCAGGAATCGAACCTCTAACCACTGAGCTACAGGACTCCACAAAGGCTTGCGAGTGCCTTATGTACTAATGAAAGAAGTCCTGGTCGATGGTCAGAGATTGTGCACCATCATTGCAAAGATAAATGAAACTCAAGTGAAATTTTAGGTGAAAAGTAAAATGGAGCCACAATTACCCATATTCTATTCACAAGGTTAACCGGACACCAATGTCTGTTAGTTTCTTTTGGATCAATTCTCAAATGGTTTTCAATCTTACCTCCTTACCTTAAGACTTGCACAACTGGCAGACACACAAGAAGATGTACAGAACATGTTTTTCTGCAGCAGTTATTCAATCGATAAAGTGGACTACATTCAAAACATCACAAGGTTATTTCCAAACCTCACTTCATAGCTCTTATGGGCTTGAATTATTTTGTTAAAAACCAATAGTCACAACTTTTACAACAGAGGACTGACTTCCTTCAATTTTAGTAGTTAAACAAAATTAACTTGGAAACTTGTATGCAATTTTTAGGCATTAATGTTTAAGAGCTGCTGAATTATTTGAGGAAGAATTATGTGTGTTCAGTTTTGAGTGCAAAGCTGAAATGAAGCTAGATCTATGCACAATTAGCAAGAAACACATTTGAAGCAGATCACTTTAGTTTAAATATTTTTATATCTTTCTGTGGGTTAAATTCCTGTTGAATTGCCCTGAAACATTTTAAACTAACTGGGCTGGTAAGCAGGAACATTGTAAATATTGAGCATAATCTAGGAGTCTAGTTTACTGTGGAAATTGCTGCTCTTGTAACCAAATGTAAACAGAAATTGTAGAGCTCCTATTTTCCTTTGTCCAGTGTGCTATTTTCAGTACAGCTCCACAGTGCAACAACTTGAGTGATTTTGTCACATCAGAGGTGCTTTAGATCATCCACACTGAGGATTATATTCCTGCAACAGAATCAAGAGGTTGATGAAGACGACTCTGGTTCATTTAATCTCATCCTTCCACAAAACCAATTGGGCATCTTTCCACCAAAGAGTCTTGGGGTTCCTTAAATTCATGTCCAGGCCTAAATCTCGCTTCCGTTTAACCCTTTTCAAGGTACTGCTTGGTAGTTAACTTCTGATGCGGAGAAAATAATTGTGGGTATATGTTTCACCAAAAACTATAGAAATGAACAATCAAAATTAATTTGGACCATTGTTTGTATGCTCATCAACTGGAACTAACTAATCTCAAAATTACATACGTCTCAAAATATTAGCTTATTCCAGGAAAACAAAGTACATTTACTGGATACCGAAGTGATACAATTAGAAAATGTAAAAATGCAAAAGTACACAGAAAACAACTTAGATATTCAATATCTCCTATTAAGTAGTTCAGCAATACAAGCATATGTGCAAGGTTTACAATAGAAAGCTAATATGGTACTAACTTTCTATAGTTGTGTTTGTGCTCATATTGCTGCAGTAAATCTAAATTAAATGAATTATTCAATTTATATATTTTGGAGATACTTTGAATCAGCTCACCACGCAGATAGACGTGCATTAGAGATCGAGGGCCCAAGAGATTCAGACGATGTATTGTGAAATAAGTTGAGGTAAGTTAATGTGTAAAGTCTGAAAATATTCAATTTGGTTACTTTTCACGTGACAAGCAGGAAACTTATTGACCTCCTTTTGTTCAAGGACCTTCTCAACAAAAAAACTATTTTCATTTACTGTATTTAGAATGATGTTCTTCATCTATTTAGTTTCTCTTCCCCCCCCCCCCCCACCCCCACCATAGTTAAGAGGTTGCTATCTGCTTTTCGTAACTTGTAGAACAACTGGTATAATAGATACATTAACGATAACAGTGTACAAGTTGCATTTTATTTTTTGCAAAGATGAGGACCATGACTTTCCAATGCAAATTTGCTGCTTGAAATGTTGGGTCTGTTGAAACAAGTACAGAAGTTGATCTATACTTTTAAAGCTTATTATACACGGGTATTATTTAATACATAATTAGTACAATATGTAAAACAACAAGTTATGGTATTGGAAAAAAACAAGGAAATACATCAAAGGCATGTAGTGTACATTACATATTGGCACAATCAAAAGTAAAGCAGCAGTTTCAAAAATATCAAAATTAAGAGATAACTGTATGGGAAACATTTTATCACGATCTAACAACAGATATATTAAAAGCCTAAAAGTACTACAGCACCTGTCTAAGAACAGTTAAAAGGTTCTGCTTAGTGCATCGACATTCTAAAAATTTCATAGCACCATTAAGCTTTTAAGTCAACCGTTACAGCTGACAGGACTGTAAAGCTCTCGAGATAGGAATTCAATCAGTGCAATGCTTCATATTTTCATTTCATTCTCAGATCTTAGTACCATTGCAGCACATGATCAATCAGTCAATACATCTTCTACAGTCAAAGCCTTGCGATGGTTTGTGTTCAAATGTAAGCAGTGCAGATTTACATGGAATGGAGTCTCTGCTTCCCTCAACCGTAGAACAGGTTTGTACCATAATTTTTCATATATAATACACACCTAAGGTTTCAGCATCTTCTTTCAATGTAAAATGGTGCCACTATACACAAAAAACTGCAGTCATTTTCAAGATGGACCTTGAGTAGGTGATTCCAGTCTCAATATCGGACGAAAGGTAAAGGACTGATCCATTAACAGTCTGGTGGCATGGTCTCTAATGACTGCTCCTTCTTTTGGCTAACCAGTCTCATCTTCTCTCGGATGTGTTCTGCTGTGGAGGCCATGTCACTGGGACTTCCAAAATACTGTTCAGTTCTGGAAAATTAATATTTGTAAATGTTTGTGAATCTGGAATGGGCAGAAATATTGGCAAGTAGCAAGTACACTGTCATTTCAAAATTCAAAAACAGGACTGAGACAAGAGACAAGGGATGGGAATAAACACTGAGGGCAAAAGATTTATTACACCATCAAATGGAGTAACTTTGATGATGAGTGCTACAATGGGGAAATGACACCTGTTTATTTGGGATCTTTCTACACTTTCAGTTCATATGGTAAGATCCAGCAAGGGGAGTTTCACCCAAGTGCCATCATTGAGCATTCTCAGGTCAGGAGCATAGCGAAACACCTTTTACACAATAAAGTTCTGACCAATCTGGTGCATAGGGTTTGCTCAGAAAGTCATCATGAAATGTTCAAGTCGTCATTAAATCAGTAATACGTGGAGAAACATAATGTGGCAAAGAAACCAAATTCGAGTGGTGGGCGGGGGTTGAGGGAAACAGAGAGAAAGGAAAGGAATGACGCATGGCCAAAGCTTCGGATTCAACAACTATCTTTTACCAAGTGCAGGTAGTTCTTCTGCAAAATGAAACAAATTGTGGGTCTTCTCTGAAATGCTGAATAGAAAAGCTACTGTAATAATTTTTTGCGGGCTGATTTTCTCTCCTTTTCTCCTGAAGATAGAGTATTTGCAACAATTGCACCTCACATTTGTTCCTTGTATGAGCCGAGACAGTGTCAGCTGCCCATCAATCCACGGAAAGCATTACAGCAGAGCTTGATGTGTGTGTCTGATGCCAGTGTACCACACATATGCACCTTCAAGGAAGGTTTACTGGATAGGGAACATAACCTTTGACTGAGTTTAATTCAGCAATGGCCAGCTGTCACACCCCAACTGTTCACCCGGCTGTGATCAGCCAACTTAGTCCGGACCAGAAATCAAACACGTGACCTATTAATGTGTATAGATGGCTTAGTACCATGTTGTTGTTGATAACTCCACCCTTAAAGCCCTCAGGGATACCAAGTTGAAAATGTTCTAATCACTTTATACGCTAAGCAGAATCTAGTGCTTAATGAGAGGGTGTATCGCAGGTTTGAAAACGATCTGTACTGCAGAGACTTGTACAAGCACTTGTGGAACTGTATCCCCAGCAACGAGTCAGCACCTCAAGCACGTTATGAAAAATCAAGGGAGAAATCTGAAGCAAGAAGTTATTTTCTTTGGATTCTGTACATTTCTCAACGAAGAAGATAAGCTGGAAATCTGCATTGGAGAGACCATTTCCACCAAATAAACAGGCAACATGCAGTGTACAACATGTTAATAATCAGCAGCGCCACCAGGCTGCAATAAAGGGAAGACATTTCTGGAGTTGTAATCTATTTGGACATTTCAAAGTTATTTAGGTGAAAATCAATTCCTCTTACAGACGAATTAAATGATAACCCCAGTGGTGGATAGTGTTCTATCGATACCCATAATTTTTTTTGTTCGGCTAGAAAGCTGCTTTGGAATCTATACAGGCAGATATATTAATGGTCTAAAATCTTACCCATCTGGGTAAATCACAGGCACAGTTAGTCTGTCTAATAGTGATTTCCCAGTAGCTTCAACTTCATCAATCTTTTCCAGGAACTCCTTACAGGCTTCAGTCTGCTCTTCTAGTTGTGAGTTATCCTTCAGAATCTGAAAAAAGAAAAACTTTACAAATTACTGGAGAAGGCTGGTGGGGGGGGTGGGGGGCAGGGGGAAGAATTCCTAAAAACAATTGTCCCATGAACAGTAAAATGAGCAAAATGAGCAATCTGTAGATATCAAATACACATGTCGTGTTGGGCTAAAATATGAGTCAGTATGTAAGCATCTGGGCATCGAGTTCCTAAAGTAATAAGCTACAAATGCTCTGCTCTATTCATATAGGGGTTTTGACAGAAAATCTGGAACATGTGGTTTCATAAAGTGGTGTAACATCCTTTTACTATGGAGATCACTTGGTAACCAAAACAATTCAAAACATTAAGTTGATAGTAGAAATGTTACTTACAATATCCATTGACACACCAAGCCTACCTAGTCAACGCTTTCATGTCAGCAACAAATCAAAACAACTTACACAATCATAAAGTGGGGAATATACTGTGAAATTACACGTATAAAATCGCAAAGATTCACACTGATGTAAAAGCAAGATTTTATTTATACCATGACAACAGTGTTTAAAGTGAGTGATTATTTTAATTTCGGAAAGCACATGAAGTGGCCACTTGAGCAAAGTACTAGAGAGGTATCAGATCTAATGGAACCCTCTCCAAGCAGGGATTGCAACCCTTTTTTTGCCAGGCATTATTAAATACAGTACCAAAAATGTTTGTAAAATGCTAGAATCAAAATTAATATACGAGCCTTTTCAGAATCTAAGTGAAATGTGTAGGACAAATCCAGTCGGTGAATCCGCTCCTCTGAGGTTACTGTAAACTGTTTCCAGACTCTGTTCAACCTTGGTAGAGTCTCTCCTGATGACCTAGTCGTGCATCGAAGGGATTGGCACAGTACGACTGTGGCTTGTAGCAACTGTCTTCCGTAGTCATAGGTGCTCTTCAGAGACAAGTTTCAGATAAGAGAGAAAAATATGATCAATCAGAATGCATTCAATTTATTTTCTCAAGTATAAGAAATCTGTAGTTATCAAACATACACGTGTATCTTGGTTATCAATTTACAAAGAGCTTGATGAAATTGGAAACGGAAAGATAATAATGAATGGAAAGTGCAGTAGGGAATGATCTTCCAACACATGAGTTAAAAGCAATTTTATGGAGCAGAATAAAGGGAATTTTGCTTTCCATATTCTATAGTAACCCAGTAACAATTCATATTGCCAGTGGGTGAAAAAATGGAAAATATTCCATTCCCAAGCACACCCACATCCAAATCAGTTGTTGACTGTGCCAATGTGGCAGATTGGAAATATTTCCATAACCCTATTTTGTTTTCTCAATGGACAACATTTGCAAAATGTTCCAAAATGTTGGCAACGCCAGTTTTGCTATATGACAAGTGGTTAACTTTGGAAAAATTGAGCCTATGTTCTCTGGCCAATACACGATCTGAGGAAATTTGATGCAATTTTTTGGATCACAGAAATGCAAACTCCAAACTCAATTCAGAAAAGCAGCATCAAACTACCTTGGGGAGGTTGTTTTTTCATTGTTTCACTGCATCATCCCTAACGAGCTTTAAGTGCAGTGCAAGCGTTTAAACTTACAAATTAAAGTATCAAATATTCCTGCGGGGTCTTAAGGATTTCAATATTAAGTGTTGGTGGGACTCCCAGTTCTTCAACTATAGTTAAAATTCACCATCAATTTCACACATGCTGATCTCAACTTTACTGCCATTGAGTTCAGACTGAGAATGAACTTCAAGTTAAGAACCTGAAGGTATATAACTCCAACAGTTCTACCATGCTTTAGTAGAACTGTACCGTCAAACAAATTCCAGCGATAAGTATAAAATTATTATCATAAAATATTACACAGCAGGCCTTCAATGCAGCACTCATTTGCTGGCTCATACTTGCCTCACTTAACATTCTCCAGATCTCTATTAATTTTGCTTCCAGAAAGTAGCAACTAGGTGAAAACAAGCATCTAGATAATTGAATCAATTAACATAACATGTAGGAGCAGGAGTAGGCCATTCGGCCCTTCGAGGCCTGCCTCTCCATTCAATCATGCTGATCTTCTAATCTAACTTCAGCTAATACCATAACCCTGCCTTATCCCCATATCCCCTAATCCCTTTTGCAATAAGAAACGTATCTATCTCAGTTTTGAATATGCTCAAGGACTGAGCATCAACAGCCCTTTGCGGCAGTGAGTTCCATACATTCACCACCGTTGAGTGAAGAAGTTCTTCCTCAACTCAGTGCGAAAGAGCTGGCTTCTGATTTTAAGGTTGTGACCCCTGGTTTTAGTTTCTCCAACCAGGGAAAAAAATCTCCCACTATCTACTCTATCATGCCCTTTGATGATCTTATAGGTATCTATAAGAACCCCTCTAATTCTTCTATATTCTAGAGAATATAGGTCCAAATTGATCAGCCTATCCTCGTAACTCCATTCTTTAGGTAGTACAAGCAAACCAACCAGCCATGGATTTAAATAAAGGTTCTGTATTTTGTCTTTACTACTGCCCATTTTGAAAAGCTATTCACAAATAATTAAAACAATACAAACAATGTTATCGAGAGAACAGTCTAAAGTTCTTTTCCCAGCCATTTACTCTTGAACAAAGTTATTTTATTTCTATGCACAACAAATAACAACTGTGAGTCACAATACATTGCAGGAGGTTGGCGATAAGTTGCTATACAGGGAACAATACTCTACATGTCTACCAATGCTATGCACCTTAGTTAGGAATATCAGGATGGTAAAAACTGCACAGAAATCTACTGAGATCTCAATGTTTGGTTAAGTAAATGTAGCTGCCAATTGATAGACATTGAAAATGCTACAGCAGACACAACCTGACTCTTCAGCAGGGGAATTTGTGTAATGCACATCAGGGTTCTTCAATTTGTCTCAATTTGATTGCTCCCAGCATTAAGATTTTCATCTTAATTTACTTTTTCAGGAAAAAAAACTGCTTCAAAATTTCTGGGCGCTACAACTTTTATAGAAACCGAGTTTCGCAACTGCGTATTCAAAGTTCATGTTTTATTTCTTGTGAGTGACAGGAAATAAAATCAGCTGTTACAATAATAGCTTTTTGCTGGTAGCAGAAACTTCTTTTGACAGGTTTCAGCCACCAGACTCTCAAATACAAAGTATGAAAAGTGACTTTTTAAAAAAAAAAAAACAACTTCCTGCTGCAGGGGAAAAGAACAGCGCCATGAAGACAAAGTTAAGTAATCGCCAACTCAAATACTGACCGACTTAAGAGACAAGGAAGCTGTACAAAGTGTTCCATTGAAGTTAATGTGAATTCATCACTGTTTTTGGTTGGCTCCCAAATGGTGCCTATCCAAAAGATTCATTGTACTAAGGCAATGTATGACAAACAGTAGCTTTGATCTGAAATTAGTCAACCTTAGCATATTTAAGGCACAATAAGTAAAGTTAAAGATCCACACAGTATTAAGTTCTCAGCCCAAAGACAAAAACTATACAAACAACATGGCAACAGAATGACAGTCCTGTTATAGGAGTGTATTGCTGAGACAAGTTGTGCATTTTCTAAAGGTAAATAAAGTAAATGACGAAGTCTCATTTGGCATCAATTCATGGATCTGCTTGAAGACAGGTAATGGCAATGGAAATATCTCACGAATGCAATGTAATCTTAAACTTAATTTGCTGCTGCAGTGGAGCACAATGGAAACCCATCATGCAACCTTTGAGTCAGTTTCTACAGTGCCTTAGCCAGAGCTGTAATTGGTTGCTCTATATGGAGTGTCAGGAGGGAACTGCATCAGATTTATTGTGCGACAGAAAAAAGGAACATTAAACACTTCATCGAAATCACCTGTTCTACTTCTCACAACGTGATGTGGAAACAATTCGTCAACCTGGTGACTAAATAAGAAAACACTTAAAAGGCTTAACAATAGCAATGGGTAAAAGGGAAAAAGGAGAGTATTGTATGTGGAGTGTCATCTACATTCAAAGATTGAGGAGGATGCAAAGTAACACAACATGACATTTTCCATTATGTTCACCTACAAAATACAGTCACTCCCAATTACAATAAATTGTGTGAAACTCTGAGACATTGCCCGCAACGTGAGAAGCGCTAAACCAAGTCAATTACTTATTATTAAGAACATAACAAATGGTAAAAAATTGCATTACATATACCTGGGCAACATCAACGAATTTGCGGTGTTTTTCCAGAAGAACTTTGGTTTCCTGAGCATCATCTCCAAGTCTAATATGAGTTTTCAAAAGGGCATCCAACAGCTCACTTAGCCACTCAACTGCCTTTTATACAAAGGAGAAAAATACACTTTTCATTTAAGACTTGATTTTGAAACGCAGTATATGAACACAGACACACACACACACACTTTATACTAAGCGACTGGTGTAGACTGACACTTTGAGCTGTGTCAGGACTTACCTGCGCAGCATCCTCCTCGCATTTAAAAAGCTGCACCATCTGAAGCATTTTCAGCCTCCGCACATCTACCATATCTTCACACCTACAGAGTCCGTAAGTACAGAGAAAAAAACACAGCTGACCATCTGCATATCAAAATAAGTTCAAACACACAATACACCATCTGAGTTTTTAACATCACTTGAAATCCTCAACATTCTACTGAAATGTAAGCACACAAAAAAACAATCTACTTGCAAAGAAGCCAAAAACAACATATCAAGAAGGTACAGGTTGTGAATAATAATGTACGGTACAGACGGCAGAAAGAATTCTTTGGATCGAAGGTAATCAACAGCTGAATTGGGTTACTAGGAGGGTGGTAGAGGCAGGGAAACTGGACACATTGAAGAAGCAACTCAATGCTGCAATAGGAGGATGATAGTCTAGAAGGTTGAGATCAAATACAATGAAGGGTCTTCTTCATTCAAAAACATCCTGTGAACAGATGCTGTGAATTCCCACCGTTCCAGTTGAAAAGTGCAGAATTTTAAAAAATTTTAAACGTCTAACATGATTTGAAGATGAAGTTAATTAACAATTCTTGGAATTTGTTCATAAGAATTCACAATAGAACGTTTCATCTTGCAGACTGTCTGCGTTGTAATGAATTCAGTAAACTAATTGCAAAATGCTGAATATGCATTCGGGAAATCACTCCATTACTAATACGGTAAAGCCATGATGGTAAATGCAGCAAATGTAATTGTTTCCAATAAAATTGCACAGTTCTGGACCTTATTTACCACAGGATTTTGAAGTGGAATTTTAATACACTAAATTTGATTGGGTAGCTCAGCAATGCAATTAACTCGTGAATTGTGGCACGTAACAGAAGACTGAGGTTTACATCTTTTTGACTGATAATTACAATCAGTTTTCCGCCAGATAGACAGCCTGCAAACTCAGCAGAGTGAAGAGAAAAATCAATGACTGAGTTTACACTCTTCCTCAACATATTAGCACCAATTCTTTCAGCATTGAATTTCAACAGGCCTCTGCTCACATTCTACAGAAAACTCATTGTTTGTGAGCACATTTCAATTCGAGTGTCTGTTGTTACATAAGCTGTCGTCCAGCCTGCCACCTTATTACACAAAATAAATGGTTATTAATTCCATCTCTTATTGCTAGGCTTTCACGTGCTTCAATTAACATGCAGAACAGAGTCTAGTGTTCCACCTTGTTTTGAGTAGCACAAAAGCCTACAAGATTTCACAAGTTGCATATTCACAACTAGTCAGTCATATGTGCAACTATCAGATAAGTACCTTTGCTTTCGAAGTTGCATATCCTCCATCAGACCCTGGATATGTTCTATGTTATCTTTATTTTCAATGGACACATCCTTTCCAAATGTCCATGGAGCCTGGGATGTCATTTGGTCAAGAAGACCCTGACCTTTTTCCCGTAAACTCTGTAGTGTAGCATCTGTAAAACAAAGCCAATTAGAAATCAATAGTGGCTTTTCCAGGAAGTCTAGTCTGGCTTTGTTGCAGTGCAAACAAAAGTAAACTTCAGAAATATGCAAACTATTTTTGTAATTTGTTTTTAATGCTCTCACTCTGTTCCGAATGGATGAAACATTTTTCTATTCGATACTCAATGATGATGTCAGATGTTCATTGACCAAATGCAAAGTAAAACCAAATCTCTCTTTTGTTCTCCTTCATAATATATTTAAAGTTTAACCTTAGCAGATCACCTATTACTGCAAAAAATCTAAGCCACCTGCAATAAATCTGATCCCTATAGCAGCCCATCTTGGTAGTTCAAACAGCAGATCTTATTTTTATTACAGCTGCAAACAACTTACAATCAATTTCCAGAGTCAGCACAGTTAAAACCATTATTAACAACTCATTCTGACATCTCACTGCAGTCGATGATAGCACAAGCAGTTCTGGTTTATTATCCACACCACGTTAGGTTATATCATCAAGCTTAGATTAAACATGCACAGTTTTAGGTACCTCGGAATCAGCGTAATATCAGTTTATCAAGTCAGAACTGCACCGTGTGATACCTACTCTTGCACTAATTACATTTTTACACCTTCATAAACATTGTCACAATTCACTTTTGATGCTTAAAAGAGGAACTTATAGTATTGCTATGAGATAGTGGATAAGGCAGCTTTGCTATTAGAATTTTGATCATTTCAGTGTTTTTAATTTTCTTTTAAAGTTCTACTTCATTACAACATGCTATATACGCTAGTGATGGCAGTATTGCTATGCATTTTACATGCTATGATTTTCTACTACGACACCCACTCACTGAAATTAATCCTTGCTCAAACTAATCCTTTATTCAATCTGCAGCAGCAAAGGTGCTTTCACTAGCTCATCAACATTTTAAATAACCTGAACTACTGCAGAAACATTTTCTTCATAATTAATCTAAACTGCAGTGGCTACTTTTGAAATCTGCACATCAGATGGAATGATTAATTAGAGAGGAAGTGCTAATCCCACATGACAACCTCTTCATGCATTCATAATCTTTTCAATTAACTATAACAGAAGTCATTTACCCAGCATTAACCATGAAAATAGATTAAGCACCCATTGCAGATGGGCACAAATCGCAAGCAATTTCCTACATAGAAATTTAAATATTGAACATTGTTTAGAGACCTCAGAGCAGGGCTCCCAAATGTGCTGCAACGCTCTATAATTCATGGAAGACATTTCCCCTTCAGAATTCAGCACTCCACAGCTCTATTTGCAGACTCTTGCATTTCACACTGTTCAATTGACTCATTACCAACTCCACGTTCTCACAGGTGTGTGATCATTAGGTTAGCACGATTGCACTGATGGATTATGAAATTGGGGAAACGACAGGTTGTCTTGAGATGCAATACAGGTGTACTTTAAGCATGTAAAATCTCATACAGTAAAACTCGCATAAACCATATCAGTTGGGACACAAAATTTAATATGATTTACACGAATTGCAGGCAAACGTGCGTAAATCATATTCAATCCGATTTAATCAATAACCTACACTGCGTATGTATAATTCTGACCCTTACCAACACTCTTCAGTTTCTCCTCCAGGAGTTTTAGTGTTTGCTGAATAGCCGTTCCGTCCGCTGGTGCTACGTCAGCACATAGCATCCCGAGTAACCCATCCAGTTGCTGGGACAACTGTGAACAGCCAATTCACATGACTTAAGCATTTTTAAATACAAGAAATATACAGTCTTATTTACTCACAATCTTCATCATTTAAATTGCATAAACACATACATTCAAAGTGTGTTACTATAAAGCACTATTCTCCCCCCTTCCCTGTTAAACAAACAATGCAATCTATGATTTTAATGTCATTGCATATTAAGAAATCTAATTATAACAGTACATTTGAAACATGGAAAATTATAGCCCCAGAAAATAAATTCCAGCTCCAACTAGCAGAGAAAGATTCACTTCAGTTCATGAAATGAACAGAGCAAAATAACCCACCCCTACTATCTTTGTTAACTACTGCCGCATCAAAAGAATTTTGTTAGCAAACAACTACTCAATTTGCAACCACTTCCAAAATGTGTTAAATGGTTTTAGTAACAAGCAGCTTACATCCTGGGAAATACCATGGAATTCGAGTGCAGTCTGTAGCACGTTCTGTCTGAACTCCAGTTGACTGGCCTGTCGATAGCAGACGTCACTCAGCTGCTGTTGCAGTGACTTCAATTCAATCAAATCCTCTTCATCCCCCGCGTTCAACAGTGCTGCGATTTGCTGATTAAGCTCCACGTACACTGCAAACCATTCCTGCAATGAGATTAGAGGAACAAGGTGAGGTTCCAGTAAAAGAAATTCACAAAAAAAAGCAGAGACCCACTGAAGATCAACATGGCAACATTTCTCCTTTTCTACAGCAGTGATTGCTTTTTGTGTCACACTCGTATCAAGTGTGGACATGATCGGGTTCAATGGTGATGCACTGTGGTAGTTTCATTTCATATGCTGTTTGTAAGACACTGTTGTGGGCATACTGGCTGCTGCATCTCGCTTTGAGTCATGTAAGGAACTGTGTCCAATAATAATAATAATCCTTGAATTTGATATAGCGCTTTTCATGTCTTCTAGACGTCTCAAAGCGCTTCACAGAATATACTAAAGTGAATTGACTGTATATTTGTCGGCGAAACACGGCAGCCAATTGCGCACATCAGTGTCCCACAAACAGTCGTGGATTGAAAATGACCAATTTATTATTGTTTTGTTTTTTGGAGGGATTACTATTAGCGTGTGCAGGGTTTCGCTCTGTCTGGAATTGAACTCTGGTCTCTCGCTTGCAAAGCGAGTGCTCTAACCACTGAGCTACAGGACTCCACGAATATAATTCAAGGATGATTATTATTATTAATCTGCAGATAATTAAATGTACTTCAAATATGCAGAACAGCCACATGGTTCAGGTACTGGAGTCCGGCTGAAACACATGGAGCTGTAACCTCAGCAGGAATAAGAGCCCTATAGGAGAGAAAATAAAATGCCACAATATGGCTGGTGCACTATAGTGAGGAATTAAATTAACTTTCTTAGTATCATGACAGGATTTACTGCTCCGCTCCTTGCCACCCTTGAATGAATGATCAAGAGCAGGGTAGATTAGCTCGTCCTTCATCTCTGTTGCGTTGCATTTTCCCAGATGTCCTAACGACAGTTGCAAAATGCCCATGTAGGAGATTTGCCAAGAGAATCTACACCCTGCAAGACTATAAAGGGGATATTTAAATTTATTATACATTTTTTAAAATCCTTGTAAATCCTTATTAGCAAGACAACTTGCATGTGAAAAAAATACAAGTTAATTACATCTGCTATACTATGACTGTGTGATTAAGATCTCCGGGAGGGGAGAAGGGAATGGATTCATGCTTAAAAAAGCCTTTGTACTTTAAAATCAGATTAGAAACTTGTTTAAGGAAGAAATTGCATCTCCTTATTTGTACATTTGACTAATTATAGTCTGCAAATGATTACGTACTTGTTGCAACTTTTTCACTCCCCACCCCTCCCTCTGGAGAAGTCATTAAAAAATCATTAAATATGTTTTGGTCGACTGGTGCCCTGCGTCTGCAATCTAAATTCACTGTTCTATTTGAAAAGGATTAGGCGTGTGTTGTACTACATCCAAAGAGAATATGTATGGAACAATGGACAGCAGGGAGCGATTATAATAATGTACACGAATCAGAGAGTTCAGATGACTTTACAAGCAGAGTAAATCTTGCATGATTGAGTAAAAGAATCTGAAGCCCTGGGATTAGATTCAGCCTTGAAATCACACCCTTTAATTACTTGTGAAACATGTTGGGAGATTCAAATATGCAGCATTAAATTGGTTCGTCACCATTTTAAATCGCCTGGAAGTTATGTGAGGCGACATTGTTATAGACGTACTTCATGCAAGTACTGTACTGACCCATCTCAAGACCCTCCTCTTCGACCGTGCCTTCTGTCTCCCTCCTTCCCCCTACCCCCCCCCACCCCCGGCCTCCACCCTCCCCGATTCGCAGCTCAGGTCCGAAACAACAACAAAATTACATTTATTGAGTGCCTTTCACGTTGGGAGGACGTCCCAAAGCGCTGAACAGTCAAGTGTCGGGGCCCAACCATGGGGAAGGGGTGGTGTAGGGGTGAGGGAAGGCAGAGAGATGGGAGGGCGAACAAAGGCATGATCGAAGAGAAGGGTCTTGAGACCAGCCTTGAAGGAGGCAAAGGAGGAAGCGAGGCGAAAGGACCATGGGATGGAGTTCCAGAGTGTGGGGGCAGAGAGGCTGAAAGCTCGGCCATCGATAGTGGGGCAGGTCGGGCGGGAGACATGGAGCAGACCAGAGCCCACTGAACAGAGGCAGCGGGCAGGTTGGTAGGGAGTCAGCAGGTCAGAGAGGTAGGAGGGGGCAGTGAGGACGAGGATCTTGAACTCAATCCTATGGGGTATGGGGAGCCAGCGGAGTCGGGCGAGGGTGGGAGTGATGGGGTCGCGGAGCCTGGTGCGTGAGAGTACATGAGCTGCAGAGTGTTGGATGATCTGCAGCTTGTGAAGGGAAGAGTTGGGAAGGCCGATGAGGAGGGAGTTCCTGGAACACCAATTGTCCAGCGCCTCGCGATGTCCTCCCGACGTGAAAGGAGCTATGCAAATGTAATTTTGTTATAATTGGCAACTTTCTCTTTTTAAAGAATATTTGGGCTCTCATTCACCATTGAAAAACATCTTTTCTGTTCATGGATAACAAAGAAAACCTGTGGTTTTAATCCGTTGAAGGATTTTTTTGATTAAAAAAAGGCCAGAACTGGGCTCCTAAATTGGCAGAAGAAAAATCTACATTTTAGAAATACACTAAAAGTAGTTTTATGATGTCCTGTTGTGGAAATTTGTAGCTGCGTATGCCCAGCCAACATAAACAATAAAATATCTTCTCAATGCAATATGAATTACGGGAAACAAAGGGATAGGGGATGATTCAAGCCACACAACTGCAAAAGCTTACCACTTATTTGGAATTTAACTTTCTTATAGAATTGAGCAGACCAAGAAATTGGTAAGATCTTGGATGAATTACTGCTTGCAACACAATCCAACCTTTCTGCTATCTTATAAATATTCAGCACAAGGGCTGCACGCAGCCACTATCAATTACTACGATTTGAGAAAATACTGCCATTCAATTTTGTACTCTCTAGGCATTTAACTTTTCCATGAAGTTAATTGACCAAGTTTAATATGTCACTTTTATTATGTTGCTGATCAGGCTTTGTAAAATTAGATACTTTGTGAATATATTCAATTTCAGGGCTGTAAAAACTTTCATTGTATTGTCTTGATTTTCTGTACCTAGGCAATGTGCTTTATTGTAAACTTGGATACAAAAAANTCAGTTAATTATACCATTTCTGGGTTAAATGTGTATTCAGTGAATAGTTGTGCCATGTCTTAATTCCACATTGATGAATACAAGAACAGAGATTACATTCTCCAGCCATCTGCAGAAACCTGTCCGACAAATTAACCCAAATCCAGAAATAAATTTCACTTTATTACAACAGTGCTAGCAATCGTCTTTAGAATAAATTAAAATTAACTGGCATAGCCCTGGACTACTCTGAAAACTCTTTTTTTCTTACATCACATTTCAAATCACAGCTTGGATAACATAAATGTACTTTTGCCATTCAACTCTCCAATAATAAACACACCCGGATGCCGGAATCCCACAATGTTAATGAGTATGATTTCTGCCAGGCATGTTGAGTACGTTGAATATTTCCATTTAATGCCAAGCTTTTAGTAACTGACCTGTTGCATCTGTGTTTAATAAGAAAATCACAGATTCCATAAGAAAGCATTTATTTTAAAATAAACATACGATAATAAATTGTCTGACATTTTATCAAAGCAAATGCAGTATTTTTAGTTTCCCCCCATTATTTCTCCAAAAATTGTTTTATTCCCTCGACAGAAAACACAATAATTGAAACAAATGTAAAAACAAAATTAATGTCACTGAGCCTTGAACTAGCCAGCATTCTTAAACATTGGCCAAGTCAAAGCCCATCAAGTAAGGTATCTGAATATAATCATTTTCCAAATAAAGAAAAATCATCCAAAAACATTTTTTCCTTACACTGTGCTGGCTTTCGATTTCCTCGTGCTTTTGCTGCAAGGCTTGTGAAGCTCGGATAGAATCACCAATTCCCCACTGGGTCCTCAGCTGCTCTGAACCAGGTCCTTCCAACCAGTTCACAACCTAGAATGCAAAAATATTTCTGATAACCAACTTCAATCGAATAGAGGTTACTAGCTTGAAAATTAACACTACTGATAAGGTCCTGAGTGCCAGGACGTGAAACATACCAATGAAAATAAACAGTGATTGTGATAGAATCAGATCAGAACAGGAAACAAACATTTTTGAGACACTTGCCATTCCATTTAAGTAGTTCAGGCATCAACCGCTCATCAAAGCATTGCTGCGCCTTGTGGCAGGTGTTTTTGTGACATTGGAGGATAGTGTGATAAATACACTGTCGTGAAGTAGCACTGTGGTGTTTATCCCCAGTGATAACTCTAGATAGTTTCCGATCTTAATTTTGAATGGGGGATGGAGGTGGAGGAAAGAGAGAGACAAAAGAGATGCAAAGCGAAAGGAGGCAAGTGGCTTGCTGAGTGAAAGCCAGGGGAAAGGAGAGGAAGATGCAGGGTGAGAACAAAGCACTTTCCCAAAAAGTAGGGAATTGAGGAAAATTGAAGCAGAGCCAACATAAATAGGTGCTCCAGCTGTACATCACCTAATGGATGTTTCAAAAGCCACGGGGAACAAGCTGTCTGTCTTCTCAAGGAAGATGCATTTAGGCAGTGAGAGAGAGGGAAATTATTTACCAAAAAAACCTTCAAAGTATGGCATTTAAAAAAAATCTAGCGACATAATGTTGATCGATTATGGTAGGAATACATGATTATGGCATAGTCGCTTGGAGGAAACTGATTTTTACATCAATCGCATACAGGGTTTAAATTTCAGAGTGCTAAACAAGCTGGAAGATTGATGCCCCATTTTACAGTGTTTGATTCCATGATGACGAAGACGGTGATCTTTTATTCATAGCGAGTTGTCCTGGAATGATTCTTTGGGCAGTTCTACTCATTAACCTGCAGGTCAACTCATCTGAAGAGATGACAGCCTGGAAACGAGTTAGTATTTTCATATTTGTCATCTCTCATTTACATCAAAGGACGGATTAATAAAAATCCCAAATCTCTTGGTACCAAGGGATGCTGTCAACTGCCACTGACAATGAAAAGTTGAAAGGAACAAATTTATGTACTAGACGCTTTAAGTAATACAAATATTGAAATGCAAGTAACATCTTGATATTCAGAGGACTAGATCTCCAAATACAGCAAACTTTTTATTGAGTTAACTATTTAGGAACTGCCCACGCAATGATAGCCCTTTTACATTCACCACATCTGAGACAGCAGAAAGCTGTCTTCATGATGGGGCACGTGCTTTGGCAACTCATTTCCCTAATTTCAATCGGGAGCTTCCTGGACATTGAGCCTTTCAGGGCTCTCCAGTTACCTTCACAAGAAAGACTTCAATATGTATTGCACATTCATGTAGCAGATATGAATACCACCCTCACCTCTGTGAGAGGAACACAAAACCTCACAACTCATGCTTTGTGCATACAAGTTATTACTATAACCCGAGAGGAATCAATTTTACTCCGCTCTTAGACAATGTTTCAAAGAAATACTAGCACAGAATGTATCAAACATCTTAAACGATGAGGGGATGTTTTAAATAGTATCATGGATATTTTAAGATCAAGAATGGTCTTTACTCAGCCATGTACAAACACATTCAGAATTGTCAACACACCTGCATAACTTTCTGCTGTATTTCCTCTAGTTGGGTACGTTTGCTGCGCTGCCTGCAAACCTCTTGATATCGAGTGTACTGTTCTCGGAGAGAATCCAGCAGTTTTACGACTTTGGGTTGAGCTAACAATTCATCGTCCATTGGTGACCACGACATGCCACCTTCTAACCCATTAAAACGACGCTGCTGCAACTCGGATAGAAGCTCGTGACCTTTCAGAGCAAAAGTCAGAAAATTATTAAATATTCAGCTGTATATATAGCTCAGTTATGCTGCTCATTTCATTTCGCTTCATGATTGAAACAGGAGACTTTGGAGCAGTCAGTAGGCACTATTTATCATGTATGACTGAAAAGAATACTTGCTGAGACACAGATGAATGACATGGACGCTAACGGCTGCTGCTTTTTGGGCACAGTTCACAGCCACCACTTGCTACCAACCCATTCTGCAAAACTATTTTGGTGACAATTTTACATTAGTTCCTGATATAATAAACAGTCACGAAGGAGCTCATGGGACAGTTTAACACCTTTAACTAATGCAAACCTTATGTTAGCGACTGGTTCAATGCTAGACACTTGCACCTTGTTTATTTTGCAATCTGAATTCACAGGAAATCTGTACATTCCTTCTCCTGGGTCATTAAAACTGCTCAGTTTATTCTACAGATGGTGTCAGGATTGGACAAGCAACAAAAAAAATCCATGTCTCCCAATCATCTGTAGCCCGTTTCCCCTCCACTGGCTCTCTTAGCCCTCTCTCCCCATCCCATTCCCATGGCCCTACCTGAAGCAATCCAGATGAAACATTTTAAAAATGTTCCAAACACTTTGCTTCGAGTCGGATAAATCCTTGGCAACTATAAATTGTAAAAAAAAAAATTATTGTACAAACTTACCCGTCTGTAAAACTGTTTCTGGATCCACAGAAGGAAGAAAACTATATTCTATTGGCCTGGAAATGTTAAGAAAGAAGTGTTAAAAGTTTATGGAAACCAAAACTGCACATAGCATGGCAGGACTTGCGTCAAAATATTCAGGGAACATCAAGTATTTTGCAAAGCATCAACAAGAACAATGATACTGCAAATGTTTTTTTTGGCAAGATTTTGCTTTTCCCCCAAGTGAAAAGTTAGATGGTACCGCTCAAAAAGCAAGTCCCATCTAACTGCATGAAACAGTTACTGTATCCTTCCCCCATCTCTTCCACTGACCTTAACCTTGCACATCTGGGATTTGCACATCTGATTATAAAGTTAGTACTCACATCATGTGCGGACCTTTTCATCTGACCTAAACTGTAACAATCTAGTGAATACCATCACTTATCTGCAAGCAGGATCATTTGGATTATTGTAGATATGATCCACCTGTGCCCTTGTGCCAACGTCTGGGGTGCATCCGAAAGTTTTGTTCTAGGTTTACTTTTTCAATCCAGCTCTAAATACCTCTCTAGTGGCCCCCCTGAAAGGTCTCTTTTCAGGATTGAACAGCCCTAGATTGTCAAACTGTTATTCATTCCTCTTACACTGGGGATAAGCTTCATTGCTCTCTTCTACACTGCCTCTAGAGAATGTTTTAAGAGAGAAAGAACTGGGCAGCCCCCCCATGTCACAGCAAGTCTTGTATGATGAATGATTTATGCCTCTCGCGGGTAACCGAAGGAACCACTTTACGACTATTACATACCACTTGTAAAAACAGTCTGGACTTGGATTTGAATCTAATTGAATACAGGATTAACATTAACAAGCTATCAAAATTGAAGTTGCTTAGATGAAAATACTCTACGGTGCTATTTACTTCGAGACAGGAATGAGAAAATATGGGGGAAGGGAATAATATTTCTACAGGTGAAAATCACAAAGCAGTTTCAACTGAGTTCATTAGCTCCAAGATATTTATTACAATGTATTATTTTCAATTGAAAATCTACTATAAATGTTCAATTGGGCAGGAGCCTAGTGTGTGATATGAAGAGTATCTGCGTTTGAATGGGCAGCCATAACCCACATCGACGTATTCAGTCAGTCTCACTGGGATATTTGTCACACAAGATGTCAACCTCTATTCGTGTATCCTCTCTTTCCTCCACTTTTTTTTAAAAAAAACTACTTACTTGGACATGGACATGCACACAGAAAGCTCAGTGGACAGGAATTTGACAGCCAATTTTCCTCCCCTGGCTAGTGTAAGAAGAATGTTGCTTGTTGTTAAATTAAACAGTTGGCCTCACTTCTTTAACAGCCTTCAATTGTAAGGAAGAGGCCTCACACTGTGCCATCTCATACACTCTGCAGACTTGATGGAGCTGCATTCCTTTGAGTCACGAGTCTCACCATCAACTCATCTCGTTTATTCTTCAGTCCCGAGTTTGGAGCAACTCGTCGTTCAGATTTTATGATTTTAAAATATGTAAAACCGTTGTACTGTAGCGGTTTACATTCGTTTGCATGACATAGTGGGAAGAGGCATTTAGAAAGTGTTAGAAAGTAGGTCTTAAAATCAGGAAGAGCGCTTTCAATTTCAGAAGCGTGGAGCTTCACTGCAAACGTTATCCCACAATAAAATCGAACCCTTCTGCAACCAATTGCAGTAGAATACGGTCAATTGGATCAACCATGCTGACATCACTTCCTGTGCATTTAGCAAATGCACTCGCACGAAGTGTTGCTGACATCACTTCCTTATTCAAAAGGCACTTCCTGCACATATAGCTTTCAAGATCAATACTAGGTGGAAATATTTCTGAAAATATTTCTGAAAATATTTCTGACGTTCGGTGCATTGAGTCAACAATTTGAAAGTAATCGCGAGTTTAAGGTGACAAGAAAAATTATCAAGGAACTGAAGGGAAATATAGACAGGATTATAGCGATGATTAAACAAAACTGTAAGAAGACAAATTATAACCAATCACAAACATTTTTGTCTTACCTATCTTTCTCCTGCTGGCTACCCCTCTCGGATCCATTATTAATTAATGCTAATTCATCCAGCAATGATGTTGACTCCTTTGTAAATTTTTCAAAGACCTAAGTTAAATAAACAACAACTTAGATGTGTATAACGCCTTTCATGCCAGGAGAATGTCCTATTTGGACAGTCAGGGATTTGGATTTAAGTTCAAATATCTACATAAATATATTTTGCTTGAGGCTTTGCCACAAGTCTGGAGGGCAAAGTTCTGCATTAAACATGAACTTCGGACGTAAAGCAAAAACTAGATGGTTTTGAACCTCAGCGTCACATAAACCTGTTATCTATACATCAAAAAAGCTTGTTTCAAAACCAATTGCTGTTCTCTCCTTTCCACCAGTCTCCCAATTGCGAGAGAGAAATGCAACTGAGAAAGTAATTTGATTTCACTGAAGCTTCCAATATTTGTAATGAAACAAATTAGAAATATTTTATAATTTTAGGCTTTTCTTCCTGTTGAAAATGTATGAAGGTTTTTTTCTGATCATCTTCATGTGACGAGTTTAACCAATGCCAACTCTACCAATTTGGCGACTCTTTCAACTTAATGGTATCAATTAACCGTAAATTAAAAAGGCAGTCCTGCTACTCTTGATTGGATATTTCCTTCAAAGAAGATAAAGGCACAAAGACATCTCACTGGACCTGTTAGTGCAAAGGCAGTGAGACAGTCCGGGCACTGCGCTCATAAAAAGAAATGCAAAGAGAGAGAGTCCCTGGTGATTCTCCCTCACAGGATGACAGAGGTCCCAAATGAGACAACTGAATAGTTATGGGCAGCACCAGAAGGATCCACTGAAACATTAGGCTTGGCAATCAACTTGGGTCATAATTGGTGACACAGAGTAAGGAAGCCAGGGATAAGTTTTGGAGGGAGGAAGGAAAGGGTTAGTCGGGTTTGCCTACATCTGAATAGACAGGCTAGAAAACTGAGTGCAGCAAATATTTAAACATTGTAGGGAAGGGTGTGAAAGAATAGCTAAGAGATAGGTAATCAAGATAAAAATATCAAAGCATTAAGAAAGTAGGCAAGTGAATGGCAAGTCTCATCGGATTAAATAATAACAATTACCATTACACTTGCTATAATGCCTTTCACATTGGGAGGGTATCCCAAAGAGTTTCACAGGATACACTGCATTGTATTATACATGCATTGCATTATACAGTGCAGTCACTGAATATGTGATTGCTGTCAACCCAATTGTTTTTTTTAGGAATTTGGTTCAAGCAGAGTAACAATTCACAATGTAAAAACAATAAGGAAAATATTATATTGGTGGTCAAATGTGCTTCAAATTTTGAAAATGAGCATACATCATAATTTATGCATTCTAACATTTACAGAACATGCCAGTACTAACCAGTCTTTTATTCAGCCAGTCCATGTGATCATACACAAGCGAGCCTCCAAATTCTTCTGTCAGTTGGCACGGTTCTATGTAGCGAGTAAGCTTGTTAGCAGATACCAGGATAACCTGTTTTTTTTGTGTGTGTATTGGGGGTGGAAAGGGGGAGAAAATAAAATTTTTTTTCTTCCCTTTTGAACTCAAAATCCTGCATATAGACAGTGTATGTCTTATAGTACAATTCTGGCTTGTAACCTACATAATATGTAACATTTGACTGAGCTCCCTGCACAAATAGTATTCAGATTCTAAAGCAGTAGTAGCTAACCTGTGGTTCACAAAATATACAGTCAATCCACGTTAGAATTCACTGAGAAGCGCTTTGAGACTTTGATGACGTGATAAGGTGCTATATCAAATACAAGGATTATTAGTAGTTAAATAAGCTGAAAATATTTTGTACATGAAACTAAATCGGCTAAGTTCACAACTTTTTTCAACAATGCTGCACGTAATACATGTGGTACTCTGTAAAACAGGTTGCAGTTTAACCTGCTTCAAATACAACCACCACATAAATTTAACGTGTGTCAGAAATCTTAGGCAAAGGCTGAGTACGCCTGGCAGAATATTGCTCAAGGCTACACAAGTTTTACAAAGGTGTTCCTTCACTCTTTTATCATTTACACAACTAACCATTAGTAGGTTTAAATCTAATTGAGCATCACTTCTCACTTTTGTTCAGTATGTATAATTCCCTATCAATTTTCAACAATACCTGTAGATCCCAAAAGTCATTTATTAATCCACTGACCACCCTTAACACCCCCCACTCTGATCACGAGTTCCTCACTGATATGGAGACATTCAGAGGATGCTATACACAGAAAATCCAAATCACATCTTTGTGATCAACAACAAATTACATTTATAGAGCGTCTTTCACGTCGGGAGGATGTCCCAAGGTGCTTGACAGTCAAAAATTTGAATCAAAGACAAAACTGTGACCTAATGACTCCATATAGTGGTGACTGATAACTCTGATCATTTTCTTCCTCATGTAAATACTGCCCACAGTGTTATCAGTTAAATGTTCTATCCCTGATGCAACCAGATATTTGTCAATTCTACTGCTCAGCTAGAGCTGAATTGTGGAAATAAGCAAGTGGAGGCTGGAATTCATGTATTCTATATGAGATAAGTAGCAGACTTAGCTGCCAAATATCCAGGTACAGTATATTGAAGAGGGGACTAACATTGAGGATATTATACGACATGTATGAGCAGGAAACAATCTGTCATCAGTTACTATTATCACTTCCAGAAGTATAAATACAGCCTTGGGCTAACGTTTGTTTCTTATGTCAAGAGTGGACGAGCTGGAAATTAACCAAGCCAGGAAGACTGTTGTTAGCCTGAGGGTTGAACAAAGGATTGACCTCTTAGCTGTGTTATTTCGAGCTTAAAAAAAAAAGGGCTTTGGGATATTTAGTAAATTAGTTCAAATGGTGGGCTGCAAAATATGTTATACAGAATAATCAACAAGGGTGAAAACTAAAACCATCTTTGTGCACCTTTGCACAATCTATCAAACAAGACAGGCAATAAAACAGCTGGAAGACAATGATGAATGGAATTAATCATCACAAACAATTAAGCTTTATTGTACAAAGGTCCAAACCATGTGTACAAACGTGAGAGTCCATTCAAGCTATGAGAGAACCCCTTTAAAAACACGTATTGCTTGAAGGCACATTTCTCACAACTAAGTAAAGGTCCTTATCTTAATTATATCAAAATGCTTTTCTAATAAACTTAGCTTATTAAATTGTTGCAAGATTATACATTGGCAAATTGTTAACCTTTACAACGGATACAGAAAAGCTTTTATTCCATCGTTCTTTCATATCTGTAAGTGATCTATGTAATTAGATTTTCATCTACTAAATTTATGACAGATAACAGAGAGAAGAATGTTATTTTCCAGCAAGTTTGGCTCAAGCACGCTATATTACGAAACGTTCAGTAGCGAACTTTGATAACCGTTGCTCAGCTACATGTGAAATATGCTTTGCATTCAAACAAATGATTAAAGAATAAGGCCTCGAGAGACGAATGTTCTCAGAATCAGATTTCATATCTTGTTACAATTCTGCTTTTTTGTGTAAAACAATATGAATGAATCCTTCCAATACGGCAGTCATTCACAACTTTTTGTGATATAAAAAAAAGCTAGCAGGCAACTGGTTTTGTAAAATCTAATTTGAATGAACGAACCAGAAAAGCATATGGTAAGAAAATAGAATGAACGTTTGAATTTTCAATAATAGATGAGCAGAATTTTGTCAAAGATGAATAATGTAAAAGTGGAATGAAACACTTTGCAATTGTTATGTTAACCTCGGGAAAAAGGAAAGCGAAATTTCCATGTGCAGGTGGCATACGATGTGGAACTCCCAGTCTGGTATGGATACTCTTAACCTGGTGTTGGGCGTCTGTGTGTGTCAAGACACATGACTGAACAAAAATACGCTAACCTTTTACGAGTAATCATGTCATTTAAAAGTAGGGAAAGAACATTCCCACAAAAATTTGCAAAATTAAAATCCTAAGCCATTTTCATTATCTAAAGGGATCTAATCGACAGGTTATAATATCCATGAATAAAACATGTGTGAAGAGGAATTACAGTAACCCTTTATAACCAATGAAAACGCTTACAGATTCTCCAAAAATCCATTTTGTTTTGTGTTATTACATTGCAATACATGTACACTAGATGTGCATATAGCGCTTTTCATCTCAGATTGACATCCCAAAGCATTTCACACCAATGCTTGGGCATCCAAGCTCGGGTTTGGGAGCTGAGGAAGTTGAGAAGGAGAAAGATGATAGAAAATACAGTCCAAGAGGTAGGTACATCTTGATTTCATCATTGAGATCCCCTGTAATTCCCTCTTTACACAAGGTCAGCACAAGGTAAACATTAAAGCCAACTTACTTTGAACATTTTTTTTAAATAAAGGAAACTTCAGAAAGCTTTTGAACTAAGTAGGAAGCATTTGGGGCATGCTCAATGGTTTGAGGGAGAAGTATTTACTGAGAACCTAAAACATATTTATAGGTATGAGGAAAAAGGACAGATTTGCTTTTAAAAGAGTAAACACAGCAACACGAGCCATATGATCATCTGAATGATGCTGTAAGTTCTATGGTTCTATATTGGTCATGTATGTCTGAGATTTAATCCTCATTCTTTGCTGAAGTGGTCAACAGGAAGCAGCAGTGAAGCAATCGAGGCATTTCAATCGGCCAGGGTTTCTTGATTACCTTCCAGAGACCCTCTACAAGAAGGTGAGCACGTGTGGGTGGACGTAGAGTGAAGTTAGTTGTGATGCCCAACTCAAATATAAAAGGTTTCAATAATATTAAGCAATCAATAACAAGCAATCATTCTGAAGAAGGCATGACTTTGGGGATATCAATTACTATTTTATGAACTTGGGTGTTCAAGTCAAATACCTCAAATCCTAGTCGATCTTTCTCCTTCCAGAAACAAAAGTGAGTGACTTTCTTGTCCCAGAATTCATCCGGTTTCACCACACACACCAGAGAGACTTCAGCAGGGATCACATTCTGGAGAACAAATCAAAACACATGTCACTACATATAAATCAAAACACATGTCACTACATACGCAGCCTAATAATTAATTACCAGAACAGATTTATTCTTGAAGAGTTGTGCGGCACTTTAGTTTAAAAATTACTTCAAAGTTTGCAAAAGCTAAGAAACATAATAAAAATGTATTGTCAAAAATAACAAAATTAGTCATAATGGTTTTCTCAGATTGAAAGAAAAACATTTAAAAGGAAAAATAAGTTATTTATTGCAAGCTAACGGATAAAAAGTGCACATCGCTATCCGTGAGGTCACCCCATTAGAAATTACTTGGAACCAGGAACAACAGAATTAATATAGCGGAGACTGGTGGATGGCACAAGATTGTCAGCCCTTTCCACTAGTTTGCTTTACTGAGGTCCTAGTTCACGGAACTTGTTTGTAACATCTTGACATATCGACATCTTGGCACAGAGTACCTTATGACATTGTCAAGTACACATCCCCACACAGGAGACGCTAGATTAGCATATCCGCTTCCTTATTTACTTCATAATGGTGCTGTACTCATGATGAGGCATACCCAGCATTTTAGTAGCCAGTGTAGAGAGGGGGAGGAGAAGAAACTTAGAAGTGGTGAAGAAAACAAAATCATAAATTCAAGATGCATATACTTGAATGTCCTACCTCACGTTAACATAATCTTTCTATGAGATTACGTAAGTAGCATGAATTACACCTAAACTACAAGTTATAGAAAATTGGTGGTGGAGAGAAAAAAGTCATAAAGATACAATTATTGGAATCCACAGCAAATAATTGTTCCTTGGCCTCAACGTGTGCTGCATATATGTACGCTCGTGCGCCAGGTATAATTTACAGTCCTAAGAAATTATTGCCATAGAATTTTCATACATGGCAACCCATGCAGAGTGCTTTGCGAGTATCCTCTGGCATTAATCAGGTTATTAAAGCAGTGGTCTAGTTAATAAAACTGCTTTGTCGTTGTATTCGTTCATGCATTCAGATAGACCAGTAAACCACTGCATTCATCTTGGTGCTTGTGTGGTATCAGTTCGTTTTACATACAGTAAATGGGTCACATTCATTTTCTGCTGTGCTGTCTGCTTGTGGCTCCTTTTCTAACATCCCTGGATTTGGCTGTCATTCAGTATAAATATTGTTTACCTTTAATGATAATGTGTGGTGAGACAGCTTCCTATTTCATTTGCTATTCTCCAGTGATGCCTCTCGTATCAAAGTGTTGCACGGGCATAAGCCAGAAAGTGTTAGCAACAGATTGAAGAGACTAAGAGCAAGTTGTTGATGTCGCCCGAGCTAGGCAATGATATATTGCCACAGTTCCTCCGCTTCCTTTGATTTTGTACCTCTTCTGATTTGTGCCATAATATTTTATTTCAAATTGCGCTGTATGGTTTTCTGTTGCTCTTCGCGTTACCACGGAAAACAATCCTCTTTGTTGGTTCAGAGGCAGCTCAGTGTTTTACAAGGGGAAATGGGCTGTATTCCACTGGTCGGTAAATTTACTGAACTTGGCAGCCAACTTTGCTAATAATGACAAAGCAACCTCATCATCCAAATCAGATTGGTGCTCAAAAAGCTGATACAAATTGACAAAGAAAAACAACCAGTGGAAATTACACCGTGCTGTTCAGTTCTTCCTATGGTATTACTTCCTGAGATCTGCCAGTTTATTATATTTGTAGAACGGTTGCATTAGATTTTTTTATCCCTCTTTCCCATGCGATTTTTTTTGGTTTCCATAAGTCATAGGAAACAGCAAAATTTGTAAACTGTTATTTTAATGAATTGTGTAGTTTTACTTGTTCAGGTGAGGGTCTCAGCTTCGCACTGTAGCTAGCGTGCACTCTCCTCAAGCTGAAGTTCCAAGTCTGCACAGACATCTAAACTCATTCCAGCAGAGGTCACTGCACAGCAATAAAGAACCAACCAGGCTTGATGGTTGGGACATCTAACTGGAGATTCTGCGATCCCACGGGTTACAGGCAGGGTTATTAAGGTCAATTCCATGATCCTAACTATTGCTCTGACTGAAAAGAATCAATGATCAAAGAAGCCCTGGAAGTAGTAGCCTTGTAGCCACTGGGCATTTGGGCTCATCGTATTAATTTTATTTAAAAAAAAGTTTGGGCTCAAATTGGCAATTTGACATTGCAATTTTCTGCATAATAGATTTTTAAATAAACAACATTTAGCCACATCCTGATAAACAGCTTAGCAATGTTAGCAGTTAACAGCTGAACTTTTATTTGCAGGGGGAAAGAGAATGAGAAGCATATTAAGGGTTTGATCCACTGTGTCCAGTAATCCAGTCGAAATTTATTTCTGGAACTTCGTTAATGTTACTCATGGAGGCATTGAACAGATTTGGTTAGGTATTACAACATTTAAAATGCTGATATTTAAACTTTGACTGTAGCTCAATGCACAGAGTATAACTTTATAATGTAAACTTTGGTTTCCCTCCCCCCATTTATTAAATATTATATCGAAGCAGCAGCTCTGTGCAGCAGCAGCTGTGACTCTGAAGGTTTCTTCACACACCAGATGTGTTTTGCAGCATATGGCAGGATAACAGTACTCATTCACACCTTCATAAATGGGATCCTTTGTTGGCCTCACCCAATTCTCAATGAGACATATTTAATAACTTATTGTACATTTAACCCATGCAACGCATGCCATTTTCCTCAACTAGTTTGCTCTGAATACAATTTCAAATGTAGTCTACCTTGCTTTTAAATAATCATCGCTGGCTTTAGATATGTACCTACCTCACCAGTTAGGATGTTGGCAGGACTCCTGATGGGAGTTCTGATCCAACACATAATATCAGTCACATTGTTTAGAACAACTTCAGAAGTGTATTTTTTTTAAAAATGTGTCCAGTACCCGCACATGCCATACCAGATTCCTTCTCCACGCTTTAAGGTTCACCCCACCCATACTTGACATTCAGGTGGCCAGATCAGCATCATCAAGAGCTGGCACTGATTCAACCTCTTATTCTGCCCCTTAGCAAAATACACAGCTCAGATTTCAGGCTCAGGTTTATTCTTTCTTTGAGATGATCTTTTCACATTCTGGGCTTCCACAAACTTAGTCTGAAGTCTCGGTTTTCTTCTCCATTGCAATGCATTTCCTCATATCTGAGCCTTCCAGAACATAATATTTTTTGTCACTTTCTCCATTACTTCATACTATTTCTCACCTACTACACTCTCTCTTCACTGTAAGGTTTGTGTTGATTTGAACAAAATTTCAGAAAAGAACAAAACTAATTCCAAATGTAAAAAGGGTAAACTATGAAGAAGAATCAGAGAAACGTCAGCTTTGCAGACTGGAAAGAAAGCACTGTGGTGGAAAGGAGTAAGAAACCTCATTGAAGTATGTAAAATATTAAATGGTATCGATAAGATAAAGCCAGACTAACTACTTCAAAGTAAGTCAGACAGTAAGGACACAGAACGTTACATGGAAATTAGTGTAATGTAAATTTAGAACCAATTATCAGAAAAATATTGAAAGTTATTCAATATACAATTAAATGTGCTAATACAAGTCAAAGGGCAAGGATAATGCCTCATCCTTTTCTCATCCTGGCATTCCTTGGGTACCTTATAATTTCATTTAGTCTCAAAATCTTTTGCTCGTTCTGTTGTATTCTCCCCCTGCATCCCTCTAACTAGCAGAAAGTAAGATTTCCCCTCTTATAGGAGGTAAGGGAAATCCTAGCCACAGACAGGAACCTGTTTTTTTAAACTCTCAAATCTGATGATAGTTTATGCACATCTGGAATATACCTTGTGCAAAAGGCAAGTCTTCCCTAGGAATCCAGACATCTGCATTTATTCTCTGGGGATAGAGGCCTCCTACCAGGCATATATGCTATGACCCAATCTGCATGTTCGTTTCACTGAAGGCTACTCAGGAATGTGCTGCGTAGTTAGAATGAGGACAAGCGCTCCCTGAATATACAATGGTGTTCCTAAACCTAGAATTCTCAGAATACAAAGAAACAAGAATGATAGAATTTCACACTGGATTATGTACATTGGAAAAATAATGTGAAACTCCAATAACCTAGTTAAATAAGAGTTTCCAATTTACTCAACAAACTGCAAGTGCAATAAGGCTTAAAGAAATTGAATCAGTCAATAATACAATGTTTTTCCATGGCCAGAACATCCTTGCTTAATTTAAACAGGGATAAAAATTACCTTCTGTAAACAGACCCAAAAGCATAATAAAAAGTTTCAATTCCCTTAAGGAAACTAACTGAAGGGAACTCAGAGACAGGATCCCATAAACTTATAGTTAAATAAAAAGGTAATTTTAATGTTACAGCTTGACCGTGAACACTACCAGTGAAATGTTCAGTGAACGATAACTTGATTTCACTTATTTCTGTGAAGGAAATGAATTGCGGATTCCATGGCTCTGAAGGGAATCCTTTACACTCAAACCCTTTCTCCCTGCAACCCCCATCACAAAAAAAAATTGGGGCATGAATTTAAAGCATTACAAAAAATGCAGTTGAATGGTCAAGAGGTAGAATGTATGCATTTAATTGTGGAAGGCCGAGCAGCCAAACCTTAGTGCTGGGAAACTTTGAGTAGTATCTGAAATCAGCCAAATGTGCAAGACTTGGCCCAACATACTTAATAGATTTCAGGCCAAAAGCAAATAAATCTGCCTCCTGGGTTTTACAGCCCTAGTAACAGAAGGGAATACGTTATATTAATTTCAGATTGCAACCCAAGTGGTATGTTTTAAATAAACAACCGAGCCAACTGAACAAAAAAAAACACAGGAAAAACATCTACACTATAAATTCCTACTTATTGGACAACCATCTCTGTTTGGGAATCTCTGTCAATCATTTAAATATTGACCCCTCTGCTTGCATAATCCCATGAATACACATGTTTTACAGGTGGGGTGGAGGAAGAGTTAAACAGGTTCAGCGTGTACAAGACTTAATTAGTCACTAGCTTCCCCTCTCCGTCTCCCAAAGTAGTTCATGGCCCTTGACTATGCTCCGGCATCTCCCACAGCTGGACATTCTTCGCATCTGAGCCGAGACAGTGAGTTTCTCTAACCATTCAATTGTGAAAGGCATTATATCTATAACTCCAACTTTCACACACAAGCAGGGGCATGGGATAGGAATTGGGGAACAGAAACCCTGACTGGTTCCCCTTCCCCCCTTTCCATAGCTCAGGAAGCACCGAGGAATCGGAAGCACTTTTTTACCGGTCCTCAGCTGAACTCACTCAAGGGAAAGCAGAAATTGAATCTGGCTGGGGTCACACTTTTGTAAATTGGAAATTTATTTAACTCTTTATTTACTGTAACAACTGAACAATCAGGAAAGCTTCCATTTCTGTTTTTAAAAAAAGGTGACACCATAAAACTGGAAGATACTTCCTAGGGAGGTGGTCACTGTTGGCGGAGTTACATAACTAATGAGTAGGACTGTACAAAACATCACCTGTAGCATCAGTACAACTGTCTTGACCACGTTCCACTGGGATTTTCGACCGTCCACAATAACAGTAAAACCTCTCGCTTTACACTTATCACTGAAAGAGAAAACAAAAGAGGTCAACCACTACAAAATGCTCATTAATGTTACCAAATGCCAAATTCAAAAAACAGAGATTAAGAACTCAAGGTTATATTTTACGGAAACTGCATTCCAATGGTTTACCAGAAATGTGAACAGGCCATTTAATTGCCCTACAAAAGAAAAGGTTGTGATAAATCACCCGAAAATAGTCAAAAATGGTCACCAAAGAGAAATGCATATGTCACATCACATTAATATGCCTTTCTTGCATTTTAGAAATAGAGAATAGATCTTTCAACCCAAAGGTCATTTTAATAATCCTTGTACGTGATATAGTACCATATCAAAACAAAATGTCTCAAAGTGCTTCGGTTTTTCTGTAAAGTGTAGTGACTGTGTATTTGTAATGCCAGCCAACTTACACACAGAACAGCCCACACAAGTGAATAACCACACTTTTATCTGGAGAATTGTTGGTCTGGAGACGGGGAGAAACTCCCTTTATGATCCAGGTTAAGAGACAGACATGCCATCTCATCTGAAACACGACACTTCCAATAAATCAGCACTCCCCACTGCATTGGACTGACAGGCTAGAGTTGAATACAGCATATGTACAGTGCAATAACTATGTGGATGTTAACTGACAGACAGTTTATCTTACGAGCTTTCCCACTGCCACTACTCCCACTAATTTAAATTATTTCACAACAGGAAGTTATATTGGACGGTAATGGAAGTAATTTATTGAGGTCGCACATCTGGGTTTAGAAGTGTATAAACATATGTAGATTGTGTCATCCGGCTTGCCAGATAACAAAAAGGAAACTAAAGGAAAGTCGCTCATTAAATTTAGTGAACCAATTGATAATTATTTCAGAGATCATCCAGCTTCAATAAAATCTTCAACACCTTAATGTTCAGAGAAATTAAGACTTTGTGATTAGTGGCAGTGCTGTGCAGAAATATGCCACTGTGTTGAATAACTGCCAGAGTCTATTTGGACCATGGTATTCTGCTACTGGTGAAAAGTAGACCTACTCAGACCAGATATACACAACAATGTACTGCACAATTGCTTTCCCTCGTCCCTCCGCATATTTATTTGCAAATATTTGCAGTATAAATGAGTGATGTTTGCACACATTACCAAGAAGCCTTCAGAATATAAATCAACTCTGGTCTGTTATTATATCGCCACACACAGAAAGAGCACCCTTGAAAAATGTGTAGCAATGACTAATCCCTTAAATGCATTTGTGAAATTTTGAAAACAAAATTGATGACTCTTTTTTAAAAAAAGCAATTCTTTTCCAATAATGGCCTCAAGGGTACAGGTGCAATTGAAGCCAATGTGGAGATGTAGTTTTCCACTGTGCGCCTTTTATGGTCGCCACACTATGCTCTTCACAAGCTGCACATTGCTAGAAAACAAATGGCTGATCTCCAATAGTTAGGGAAGTAATTCACTCTGGAATAACCATTCCAGTGTTTCCGCTTTTTATGTTCGTGAGCAATCCAGCAGAGAATACTAAGTGTGCTAGAATCTGAAAGATACTTTTCCCACACCCATCTTCAAGCAGGAGAGAATTACCAACCCATATTAGTTGTTGCAAAGCACTACACAATACTTTGCATAAAACAAGGGCATTCTCCAGCCAGCAAGCTAAATCCTGATACCACAAGCAAGAACAGAATGTTCTCTAGCACCCTTGACACCGAATAATGAAGTACAGCAACTAAAACAAAAAGCTCATATACATTGACAATTTGTAACACATCAAACTCTTGTGGTGTATTCCAAATAACCCATGTTGATATTCAGCAAACAACGGTAAACTACATGAGCTCTAATTTAGAGATTACACAACCATTGATGCATTACTGTTTTGCATTATAATCCACACAGCAATATATAATCAATTTTAAAACGTTTCTCAAGCGTCCAGTCTTGAAAAGCTTCTTGGTGAACATTTTGCCTAGTTACAACATAACAGTATTAGAAAAAGGGTAGAATGATAGTTGGGGCGCATTCTCTTTCACCTTGGAGACAAGTTGTTCGGATCTGGAATTAACTGAAAGGGTGATGGAAGCCGATTTGATAACAACTTTTAAGAGAGAAGGAAGTAGATAATTATTTGGGGAGGCCAAGTTTGCAGGGATTGATTTGGATAGCTCTTTTAAAAGAGACGGCACAGACACGAATAGTACTGATTAGCATGAGGCTATGGCTTTTCAGGGAATATGTTAGTGTACCGGGAAGATATCTGTGACAGCATCTCTGATTCAGGTTGATGAAGCACGTTGATGATTGATGGATTGCAAGTCAGTTACAATGAGGAATCAAATGCGCCAATCTGGTTATGATTTTACATGGATTAAAAAATAAAGTAAAAGCAAAAGATCTGAATACTGCTATGACTAGTATGATTATTCATTGGATAGTTACGATTTCATTTGATGCCGAGTCATCTAATTTAATTATTCCCAAGAGTAGTGCAACCCATCACCTAATTAAAATGCACTAAACCAAAATGAAATTTACTTCTAACTATAGTGCAGAGGCAGAGACGTTCAGTAATAGTTTCCCTGTTACCAAGGTAATTGCAGTAACCCTGAACAAGAGGTCCTATTTTTNCATCTCCGTTCCCATCAATTTTACTTTTATTTTCTCCCAAGTATTCAGTGGTCAAGAAAGCTTGAGGTAGTCATGAATCAACCAGGTTATCGTTCTGTGCATTCATTAGTTTCCTGCCCTTTTTCCAGTTCAAAACCTTTACAAAATATACTCAGAAAGAGCAGTGCCTAAAGGCTTTGTCACTCATAGGAATGGCAACAATATTCTTGATATGATCCAATGAGATGGGAGCAGTGAAATTTCCTGGTGATCAACATAAAACTCCTACGCACAAATCCATGTGAGTTACTTTATATACAGAGAAGGGAGTTTAGGGTGTTCTGGCTAGATAAAAGTTCTCCTCCAGATAAAATTGGGTCATTTACTTTATGACTGTTTGTGGAAAATTGTGATGTGCAAGTTAGCCTCATGGCATACCATATCAAATATATGGACTTTTATATATTATTATAGAATGGTCAGAAGATGTAGTTGAGCCTCACTGGTCTTAAGTCATATTATTAGAGTTGTTAACATTTTCTGCATTGCCCTCTATAATTTTCAGTATATTCAAGGTTTTAGCTGTACAGCATCTGCAACATCAATCATCTGCAAACTTCTTCCTCTGAACAGTTTCAAATAAAAATCATATGGATGTGATTAAAAAGTGCAGTTTTGGAATAAACTAGAAGTTTAGTAAACTTCCCAAGTGGCATTCCTGTGGACAATTTATTTTCTCAAAACACTTGATACAAAGTCTTCCTTCCACTCACTGCCTTTCCCCTAAACATTTCCTTTTTGCACCAGTCTTGGCATGCAAAACAAAGAAAAAGCAGATCTTAAATGCACTGTGGAGCGCTCTCCTTTTTCTGCAAATGAGATTAGGAAAAAAGGCATACATCAGAAACCTAAATAACTCTTTGGAACAAGACACAAATCCACCTATCTAATCGCAGCCTAACTATACAAATCTTACAATCGGTCTGATCCTCCAGCTAACTGATCACATTAAGAACTGCTCTATAAATCAAGCACTTCCTGCAGAACCCGGTGACCTGACAGGATTTAAAACCTCCCTTAAACTGCAACTTAGTCCCAAGGCCACTCCTGAACATATATCCATCTCCAACTCAGCTGCACTCACCTCTGCATAAATAAATGCCACAGAAATCCCTGGAGGGTTGGTAGCAGAACCTAACCCAGCAGAGGGAACCTGGAGACAAACCCATATAACTACCACACTGGGAACATGGTATGGTCGACTCAGGCATACAAATGGGTTTCAGACTTCAACCCTCGCCTCACCAATAAGTGCTTGAGAGGCTGTGGCCAGAACGTGAACACGGTCTCCAAATTCAACCATTCACAGCACCGCAGGCAGCAGCCAGAAAATATGGCTGCCTGTGCACAGAAAGTCAGATTGGGAAATCTGTGCATCTATCTTTATCCATGAGGCAATGGTGGGTGAAAATATTGGGAGACACATGAGCCCAGCATAGTCCGTTATTGAAAAACAAATGGTTTGATTTAAGGAGACTTCCCTCATTATTCAACCTGTATGCACAAACTCTTCACTTTCAAACCTATTAAACAAAGAAAAGGCAACAGATTTGAACTTGCAAGATAACGAGTTATCAGACCCATTGTTACAGATACAACAAATATCCGGTTTACTATGACAATTAACAGTGGATCATGGACTAGATGAGACTAAACAAATCCAGCACGGGTTTTAAAAAAACACAACCGCATTTTAAACAGTTTACAAAATACAGTAAAACTTTAATGTGAACATGAAAGATAAGTCACCTTGGAATGCTGAGCAAATAATCCAGAGTGACGCTCAGTTCATCCATGTTGGTTTGTTCTGAACATAATGGAATTGTCAGAATGAGACCACTTCGTCTGTCCTTGCCTCCTAAAAAAAAGAACCTTAAAGTCAGCACGTGATTTTTTTGGGGGGAAAGGCAGTTGTCAAAAAATATCATCCCCGTATCACTAGAGGTAACACAATAGTCAGATCTGTGCTCAGTAATGAAAAGATTTTCCCAACACTGAGTCAGTCTGTCTGTGTGGGCTGCATTTTTAATGCTACCCACCACATTTAACACTAACTACACAAAGCCTGAAGGAAGGTTTGCGTAGGGTGAAAAATAAAGATGTTTCATGCCACGGTATTATTTTTCTGTTATCCCCCCCATAAGACAAAATTCCAGCAATCTGGCACTGAATTTCTGAAATTGATTTCAGTCAATTTGTCAGCCAAGGAACATAGGCTGAGTATTCTCATTCCCACCCTTGGAGAAACAACAGAGGCTATCAAAAACATCAGCAAAAAGTGATATGAGTTATCACTAATCCCTTTGCAACAATTTATTGCAAATTCAAGTTAACACTGCTGTACAAATAAGCGAAAATGTTATAAATAAAACCTTATTGTAGGTTCAAATGACAAGCAGCATTTGACGCTATGTAGACCCCCCAATGAGATTAGTGTCACCGTGCTTGCCGAGCCTTAATTCACTGTATAAATGTGTTTTCAAACACACCCACACCTAATTAGCGTTGTTTTAACTGAATTACAATAACTTCAAGAGAAGTCTGTCCTGCAGCACTCTTACTCATGCAAATTGGCAAGAAAGAGTTGCTTTTTATTTGAATTTTGCCCTCCATACAAAAGAACAGTGGTTGCTTTTCATTTATACAATGACATCAGTCTTCAAGGCCAACTATAAGTAAACAGAAAGCGTTTCATACAGTTTCAGCAATAAATTAAAAACAGCTTTTAACCTACATATGATACTAAACTGTGGGCCCATCTGTCTGTTTTCAGGTGGATTTTACTGATCTTGCAAACTATTTGAAAAGAGGTAGGAGTTTCTCCCAGTGCCCCAGCTAAAAAGTCCTCTAGATTAATTATTCATTCACCTAATAGTTGTTTCTTTGGCCTTGCTGGAACAAAATGGCTGCTGCCTTTGCCTACAAAAAGACTGTATATGTTGTGGGCGAAATGTATAGCTCATACTCAAACAACAGTAAAAGTTCCTTTCACGAGCACTCCCCAGTTTCACAAAGAACAAAAGTTCATGCATGTAAAAAAAACTACCAAAACGCTTTCAAGCTGCAGTGCCTGTAAATCAAAACATATTTCTCTTAGAATTGGAAAGAGAAATAAAATCACATAAAATAAAATTGTAGCATAGCTCTCCTAAGTACAAGAAATAATTCTTCACTGCCAAAGACTCAGAAGCACAGTATATTTTACAACACTGACATCTGCTCAACCCTGTTCCAAAACAATGCGATATGGTTTAGGTCAGCATTATATTATGAAAAGCCTGTACTAAATAGTCTGCCTCCCTCAGATAAATCGAGAAAACCAAGAGCAATACTAAGTGATGGTGCACTGCAATTTTGAATAATTAAAACCAGTTTCACACTGTTGGTTATGAAACCTCGTTGCTCATCCGAACCTCTTATTATGTATAGAATGCTATTATTGAGATGTAATAAGATCCATTCCATTTTATCACACCTACATCACGTTTGATGCACTGACGCTAATAGGCTGATATGCCAGTGCATTTACATACTGATGCATTTTTACGGGACTGATTCATATTAGCACTGTTCTGAAGCAGGTCTTCCAACTTGGCAATGAACTCATGTGAACTCATGCACTGCCACGATGCTCCCAACATGTAAATGTCAACCACCACATTTTACCCATTTTAGTCAGGTCCCAAAAGGACAATAAAACACCCCAATTTTTTTTTTTAAAAATCGCTAAATCATAAATATTTAAAATTGTAAGCAGTCAAGCATAGTGAAGCCTTTAATTCAAAGCGCAATCTTTTCCCAAACAAAATGTGCAGCATTCCCACTCATTACAACTGTACGCACAAAATCTGAGCTCAGGCATGACACTAGGCCAAGCCAACAAGATCATGTGAATCTTATCTAGCCCTCACTATTATTCTAAATGCAGACTGCTTACTGTAGCTTTGGGCCAGACGGAAAAAGGCTAGTTAAAAAGTTGATAGACGTTCTTGATGAAGCAGAGCTCTCTAACTCCTCTTCCCTCCTGCCTTTGTAGTAGGTTTTGGGTTCTTTTTGAGGGGCAATCGTGTATAAGTTTCCGATAAAGTGGCCACCCATTGTGCCAAGGTATTTCACTGCACCAGACGTAGGATACACAATCATTCAGCACATATCCCACAAGAATAATAATCCCTGCATTTGATATAGTGCCTTATCACGTCTTCGAGATGCCTCAAAGCGCTTCACAGAATATACTGGAAAGTGAAAGTGGGCAAAATGTGGCAGCCAATTTGTGCACAGCAGTGTCCCACAAACAGTCGTGAATTGAACGACCAATTTCTTATCAAGTGTGATACTGACATATTTATGGGGGGGGATAAATTTCCCTCATTGATGTCAGCAGATGGCTCTTCATCCACCTCCAGACACAAGAGATCCAGTGAAGCAAATTTACTCACTGAAACTAGTTTTCCATAAATATGCCTCACCCGGCACAGCTAATTTAGTATTAATTCAATTCACACAACTGGCTAGCAATCAGAATGGCAAAACCAATTAAGATTAACGTTCCAAGTTTCTGTGAGCAGCTTTGATGGCCACTAGGTTCTCTGGCTAGGATAATTGACCTTTACAGACCACCGTTGGGAGTTTTGGAGCAAATGACATTCTAAGTAAAAGCAGATATATATATCATTGCACAAGAATCACTGACATCCCTGTACCACCATGGGAATTTTATGAACCATGTCCAAAACTCATGGAGGCTGTGAGGTGCATGTGGACAAATCAGACAACTTTCCTCCCAGCTTTGTTTTGAGATTCCCTTATGGCTATCGTCTAGCAAACCTCCCTAAAACACCTCTGCTGGCAATGCAGATATGCACAAATAAATACCTTAATGCTTTCAACAAACACTTATGCCATGATTTTAAGATTGCTGTGTGGGTACAGAGTACCACTGGAGCTGTTTGATCCAAATCCACACTTTTCATTATTGGAAGCTACATTCTAAGATAATGGGAGATCTGACTCAAAGTGAAGTCTGAATAGCTCCAGAGTTGGGAAAAACATTATATATTAATAGTTACTTCTGGAGAACAATAATAATCTTTGCATTTGATATTCAATAATATCAAAGTAGGAACATAAAAGCAGTTTAAAGACAGCTTCAATTTACTTCACTTGAAACAGGTCGTTTACTACAAGAAGTGGCTAATTCAGCATTGGAATTTCAAATTACGCAACTGGGTCATCTATTAATATGATAAATTCAATTACCATAAAATAGCTGTGATTAATTTGCTGCTAATGTGCCAAAATACTTTTGCAGCATACTAACGCTTTTAGGTTTTGTTTTCCAATGTAGGAATCCTGTCTGATGAGGCAGATGCGCGGGGGGGGGGAAGGACGGGGGGGAGGGATGGGGGGATGTCACAATGATGTAAATTTACCGAAGGCACACAGATATTGTAAGTGTGGTATAAAAATACATAGTGCAAACAACTGCAGGCAATTAGGAAGCAAACATTTGCCTTCCCAACACTGCTTACCCAAATAAATGCTACACTAGAGTATTTGCCACATATCATACATTTTATATGTGATACATTTTATTTTATGCCAGATTTGCATCACAGTTTTCTGGCGAGAGTTGTAATGGGAGGATGGCTACTCCTTCCAGAATAGCTACCCTGCCCACCAAGTCATTTCCTAAACAAGGATACTGACCTCTCCTACCTTTCCTGGTAACAAACCTAAACTTATGCCCTCCCGTCATTCTCCATGGCTCATCTGAAACCGTTGTTCTGGATTTACTTTCTCTATCCTACTCAGAATCTTATGTACCCGTATTTTTTTAAGCTCCCTTTGCAAACCAGTGTCACTCTCAGTGACTGATCAGTGGCAGTACTTTAAAAAAAAATGCGATACTGGTTTTCCTAAAAAGCTGCAACCTAAATAAAAGTCGTGGTCACAGGAAAAACACGGGTGAAAGCGAAGACGTCCCCCATTTAGGTACAGCTCCCGGTTCTCAGCGCATTGGGACGTCCTCCGGACGTGAAAGGCGCTCTATAAATGTAATTTTGTTGTTGTTGTTCACAACCCGACATTTTAGAGAGCAGCCAATTGGGAAAAACATTAATTTTTGAGTGCTTGCAAATCTGTACATTGTCAAATAATGCGATTGCATACATGACCCAGTGGCATCATCATACGTTCCACACGCAGGCAACAAAAACCCAGAGAACACCTGTTTTTTTAATCCAAGGCTGGGCTATAACAATGCACATGCTCTAGTGTCAGCAATTCCTCAAATTCACAATGCAACAACAACAAATTACATTTGTGTTGCACCTTTCATGTCAGGAAGACGTCCCAAGGCATTGAAAGCAGCAGGGGGCTTAGAAGAATCTAACAGTATTCCTTAATAAGAAACGCAGAAGTACATCAGAATGACCTGTGTGAACTTTGTTCCAATTCAATCTTTCAGAGCTGAGTAGTTCCAGTGAATAGGTATAATGTTCTTCCGGTTACCTGGTGTCTCCATGGAGTTTCCTCATTGAGGTGCCCAATAGATGTATCAAGCGTGCAACATATACCCAGCATTAGTGAAATTCGAGCTGCTTCTGTACATTACTCAGCAAATAAAATCTACCACAAGAAAAGGAAATGTTTTTGCAAATCCCATTACATACGAAAAATTATTTTAAGCGGTTTATTAGGCTCACTATTATATCAACAGCACAAATGCAGGCCACCCCCTTCCTCTCAACAATTCTTTTCTATAAAAATGCAAACCTTTTGTTGACTATATAAAATAAATACAGGAATTCAGTCAGAGGTTGTTAAATCATTTAAGTTAGGAAAGAACAATGAATTCTGTGTGCTGCACGGATGCAGAGTTCTGTGTTTAGCGCACAGGAAACGTACACACAAAAGTGATGAAATAGTGCTTCCTCTTTCCGTCATCCCGTTTGCCAATGTTCTACCTTCTTTTGACTATTTTTACTTGTCAGTAATAATAGTAGTAATAACAATCCCTGCATTTGTGAAAGCGCCTAATCACGTCTTTGAGACGTCTCAAAGCGCTTCGCAGAATATACCGTAAAGTGGATTCACAGGTCAGTGGTGCCATCTGTGGAATGCCGTGCCCACGTCTCTGTTATTGTGGAAAATAAACATCAACACAAGTTCTGAAGTAAACACATATCTAGAAACTGATTAGAAAGCAGAAACCTGGTCAATCCAAATCAGATGGGCTGCAGCTTGTGCATCCCCCTCAAATTGTTGTTTTCCCCACAAAACCAAAAGCTTGGTTTGTGTAAAGCAGAACATGGAGAAACAATGACAAATTACACGCGGAGCCCACTTGCAATTAGTCATTTAAAATTATTGTAACGTTTTGAAAACAGCAAATTTTTTGGGAAAATGTGCTTATTTGTTGTTCAGCAATGCAGCGTAAACGAGGTTGATTACAACAGATTTGATTAAACTGCAGGAAAGTAAGACTTTTCCTCCAAAATATAAATTAAACTTTTAGGTCAGAATACAATGGATTGCATCCGATCTCATCACGTCCTGATTACAGCCACTTGTCTCAAAGTGAATTTACTCTGATTTCCTTTTCCCTCTATTAAATTTACAATGTCCTACAGCAGCAACATAGACACATGCTTCATCATAACAAAAAGCAACTCGATGCAAGCGTCACTTCACTCATACACCCAGCCATGATCACTATGAAGATACTTTCAGAAGAATAGATTTTTCAAATCTAACCTTCAAAGTGATTTTTAATTCGGTAGAACACCATTTCAGTCAAACATATTTTACACTTTGTCAAACAAATATGGTTCACTGTTTACATGCCTGTAATACACAATACAAACATCACTCTTTAGTTAATAGGGGAAAAGAGTGTCTGTCCCTTTGTGTTAGTTACTGGCATATTCAGAGCATTATCTACAGGTAGGAAACGATGCTGACCTATGCTACCCCAAGAGAGACCATGTACTCATAAGATACTAATCTATAAAAATTTTAATTCTGAGCATGTGTTTTTTAAAAAACAAATGCAGGTCCACCGTACATTTCCTGGTCACAGAATCTGATAAATGTTCCGAGCTCTCTTGAATGAAACTATAATTAAAACTTCCAGAAACATGAAAAATCAGTGGTTTCATGCCTTATCACATTATAAAATCATTCATCTTGAACACTTGTCAAAATGAAACACCATATTCCAATGAGACTAATGGGGGCTTCCCAATCAGGGTCAACATTGGGGCTGACAAACAGAACGACAACAGGAAACTGCTAATTAAATCACAAGACACACAATTCAATTAATACAGAAAAAAATAACTGCTGAATGCCTATTACTCCACGAGCCCTAGTGTCAGCAATATATTTTTCTGATACCTACTCAATGTTTCCGTGGCAACAAGAGATCCCAACAAGACCTCTGGTTGTCAATAAGGAAATGGTGGCTAAATCAGGATCCACTGGTAATGCAGTTGATGAATTTCTTTACACCACACCCACTATATATTGGTCCAATTATATGGTTCTAAATGAATTAAAATGCAAAGGTCGACATTACATTACAGCCATAATATGGTGCAAAATCATCATTATAAATAAAGGAAACCTAAGACAAGGTCAAAAACAAAGGGATGTTAGGATATTATCGGACGCAGCAACAATAATTCCTGAAACTACACAATATGCACTACCACCAAACACAAAGAATGTACCTGAAAGAAAGGCAAGCCTTTTCTTCAGTATGGGCAATATGCTTGTGGCTTCCATTTTCTTCAGAACCAACACAATCAGAAATGTCTATAATTCTGCAAGCAAACACACACAATCAATCATTTTTCTTTGTACTTTTATTTACTATACCTACAATATAAACCTTATATGAATCTTAAATGAAATTATCTAACCAAGAAGGAATATTCGATAAACTGCTAATTTTATCCATTAATTTGATAAACAAAAAAATCTAAACAGAAATATACTCATACCAGACTTGCCTTGGAGTAATCAGGCTGAGGCTGCTTTTCTCATCATATCCTGAGGTTTCTCAAACTACAATATTTTTTATGCATTACAAAATTATACAAACTGTTTACGACTGTACACTTAACCCTGCAACCTCACCACCAGACATTCCTAAACGCTAGTGGGACAAACTACTTGAAGTACACTATCAAAAGAATTCATTACTTGAAAAGCAGTTTCTGAAGGAACGAGTATATATTTTGGATTTAAATAATTAATGTAAAACAATATTTACAAGAGCCTCACTGGGAAATGAGGGAAACAAGACAAATGTTAAGATATATAATGTTCCGCTATCCAAGCGGATAACCATCCCGTTATTGACCCTTTTGTTAACAGAATCATTGCAAATGGGAAAGAATTGTAGATACTTACTTGAAGCACTTTGGTTGGTAAATACATTCTCCACTAATCTCTCAAAAGCCACCACAAGCCCATGTCCTAAAATGAGGAAATGCAATCATTAGTTGTGTTTCAATAAGGATTGGACATTCTCCAATGCACATTTTCCTAACTACTTCAAGGATATAATCTGCAGAAGATCCTGGTTCTGTACCTTAAATGTGTCAGCATATTGTAATATTCATCAATTAGAAGAAATGTAATCTTTGTCATCTATAGTTTCAACACGTTCTAATAGTTTCTTTTAAAATACACTTGGAAGTAGCTGAAAATATTTCAAACTTGTTTCCATAGCCTGATCGTATTATGAGAGAATCCACATTATAACAGATAATGTCCTACAAGAGCAGCTATCTTAAGTAAGAGAAGTCAACAACAGGAGATATGACAAGTTGAAGGCCTCTTTCTGTGCTCTCTTTAAACATCCCATCATTGTATGCTGTAACAATATGCAATTGGGGCAAAGATCAACTGCATAATACAAAAGTAGCCAAAATGGCAGAACTAGGAAAATATTCCATTTGGTAGATTTGAAATATCTTTCCTCAAAAAACAAGGTTAAGTTTTTTTTAAAGCAGTTTTCATTGTACAAAAAAAATCACCTGAAGCTGGTCAGTAATAGAGATAAACAACAAATGACGGAATAGTACCTTTCTAGTATGTGCTGTAGATTAACATTCTAGTTACAGCTTCAGACTGAAAATGATCTAATCAAACTCGAAAACACTGCACGAATTGAATTTTTCACTTTGAAAACTCCGTACACAGAAATGACAAGAAAGCCGGGTTAAATTATATATTTGAATTTTCACATTTCGGGGGAGAAAGAGAAGAGATTTTAAGGTCAACTTTTTGAGGCACCCAGTATCAACTTCTAAGTCTTACACCATGACCCCGGATAAGGACATATCTCCTTGTACTCAACAGCATACCATTAATTTCAAACTCACAACTCTACTTCATCAAAGTAAATGGCACCATTTCCCACTCCTGCTGTTCTATAGCGTCAATTAATGGCAGCAATATAAGCAATTCTCCTGTAACCCACATTCATTAGAACTAGGATCAATCTGTCCAAAACCATTTCATATAGGCCATTACAGCCAGCAGGTTGCAGATGTGAAAGGATGGTGTGCTAATCCACTGAACCACCCAGTCCTAGGAATTATTGCAATAGTAATCCTTGCATTTGATACAGCGCCCTATCATGTTGTCGCGATGTCTCAACATGCTTCACAGGATGTACTGTAAAATGGATTGACTGTATTTTGTGGGCAAATTGCAAATGCCAATTTGCGCACAGCAATGTACAACAAATAGCTATGGAATGAATAAACAATTTTTTTTTATTTGGGGGATTTGTTGGCCAGGATACCAGGAGAAACTCCCTTCCCTTTTCAAATAGTGGTATGGGATGTATAACGTCCACCTGAACAGGCAGACGGGACCTCAGTTTAACATCTCATCCGAAGGACAGAGGGTGTGGTTGCAGCAAAAAATAGTATCAGCGTATTTAAGAGAAAATGTAATGATTATGTGAAGGAGGAGGGAATAGAAGTATGTGATAATTAAAAATTATCGTTGTGCACAATTTATTCCAAGATAGATAGAGGTTGTCATAGCAGCATAGCGTTAAACCATTTTCTCACACACTCTCCTTGACAATACCAAAATTATCAATCTTGAATCAATAACATGTTTTTCCATGACTGTTTTCTGTCACATGTATCCAGTACTCAATCAAAAGTGATAACGAAAATTATCAAGTAACGCATCAAGTGACATCTTAAAACCTGCCAGACTGCAATAAATCTTACTTCAGGCCATTGTCTTATTACAGTAACAGTGCTATTTCCTGAGAACACTGTAGCATTATGAAGGGACTATATTTAAATAACCCCCTACTACAATTCTTGCAATGAGAAAGAGAACAAGAAAAAAATCTATGTCACAATGTATATAGCACTTGTACCAATGATTCACAGAAAAGATGTTTTCAGGTCATGGCATGTACAGTATTTGTGTCTTAAGCAGTCTTTAGACTGGCTTCTCCTTTTGGTTAAAACTGGTCAAATCAACCAATTTGCAAACAAGAGCAATGTTATTCGCTTTTTCAAACATCAGAAATGCCCACATTTGCAGGATAAAAACATACAACCTAAAAGCTATTTTGCATTGGTGTATGAACAGCAGTGACAAGTCTTTAGCTTGTACTTTTGTTTGAAGCAAAAATCACTTTGTTCAAGTAAACAGTATCAATAACCAAACCAACAAAGCTACAGAAATGTACAGAATTTCACTGAATGATAATGCCATGGAAACAGGCATTCGTCCCAACTAGTCTGTGCTGGTGTTTATACGGAATATAGTTCTATTCCCTTTATCATATTCCCAGTTATCATATTTATGCCCTCTTATTTTGGACTCACCAACAAATGGAAGCAGCCTATCAACATCTACCTTACTAAATCCTTTCATAATCAAACAGCTCCATCAGGTTCCCTCTCAATCATCTCGACTCTGAAGAGAAAAGTCCAACCTGTCCAATCTTTCGTGATAGCTCTATCTTCTTATCCCTGGTAAATCTTAGAACATCTTATTTCCTCTTCCTTCTTGCCTATTATTGTCATTTCTTGAATGCCACGTGCCAATTTGCTAATCATTCCTGCAACAGGCCACTGCACTGATGGATGGGAGAGGGCAGAAGGAGAAACAAGCAAGTTCAGGCCTGAGTGGTGAGACGTTTACACATAATTACATTTAGTTTGACTGAAGAAAACATTGAGTGGATAAGATAACAGTATGAAGGATATAGATGTACATACTATATGTTGACACATTAGACCTCAGAAATAGAATGTGCCAATATAAAATTAACAAGCCAGAGACAAACTTCCCTGTCTTTGAATATGATGAATACATAACCAATATGGTTAAAAACGATTAGTACCAAGTCAAATTAGTATATTTAATATTATGGTGTATAAATATTAAATAAGAATGACAGTTTTAAACTATATGCTCAAAATTAGATGATCTTAAAATCTAAGAATTATTGATGGAATAAAACTGGTCAGGAGTCAACGATATATGTTGCAATGGTAGATTATTTCGTTTTGGAATATTTACTTCTGATTATTCACATTCCACAACATGCCAACTGCACAAGGTCTCTGGAAGCAATCACTTTCATGAAATAAACAGTCGCATGTAATTTCTTCATGTTTTGATTGTGCTATTCTGTATCTGAAGACTATTATGTTACCTTGATTGCAATTCACATTTGTTGCAGTGTAAACGCAGCAAATATGAATCACATTAAACTAGGTCCACAGCAGTCCACTGAATTATCCATGGAACTTTCAATGGACCATGTTTTACTATTGAAATGTCAAAGTCAATTGTCCACAACTTGCATTTATATAAGATCCTTCAGGCATTGTGGGGTCTGAGCTTTGAATATCAGTCTAATGCCAGTAAAACACCCAATTGTGGTGTTCCGTGCAGAACCCATAGGGTTTCTTTACAACCACAATTTGACGCAATATGGAGCATAAAGTATAAACCTGAATTCTACTCTCCACAGCTATATTCTTAGAAATAATCACAACAGTATAAATACATAATTATAACTTACAATTACTCATCAAATGCACCAAAATAAATTTTAGGTCTGCCACAAGTGCAGTGCAGGACTTATGATTTCTAAAATATCAACATCCGGAAATCCTGAATGCTGTGTGTCAGTTTAATTGTTAGCACTCTTTGCGTTGCACTATAAGGTTGTAGGTTCCTGTCCCAAATCAGGTTTTAGTGTACAGTACTGGGGGAAGCACTGTATTGTTGGAAGTGTGCGCCACTGTTCGGATGAGACTTCAAGCCAGGGATTGTCTGCATGTCCAGGTGGTCCGATGGCCTATGGTCACCTCCCCCTACCCCGTCTCGGTGTCGTGCTCCGCCACAGTTAAGCAATCTGGGACTCTACCCGGCCTGAGGGGCACTATATAAATGCCAAGTTGGTGTTGACATTAAAGATTCATGCTACTACTGTATTCACAAAGAAAAGTTTTGCGGTCTCTTGGCCAATGATACTCCACGTTAATAGGTCATTTACCCCTTATCTGTCTGTGCAAACATGATGCTGTATTTGCCCACAAAAAGCAGACACCACACACTAAACCGAAACTCCCTGTGAAGTGATTTGGGACAGTTTGTTATAAGACACTGTAAAAAATTCAAGTTTCTTTTAACAATACTGACAAAAGCAAGACACTATGTCCACAAGCATCACTGAATACACAAACATTATATACAGCTAATTGCTTTGTAAATGGATATATGCACTACGTTTCCTAAATACACTTGACATCAAAGGATGCTTTCAATGATGCCCATCAAATTACGTGAGTACAGAATTGGACAAGTGGTCTACACAAGTCAAGACTGCTTTCTGTGGTAGTCCATTTAATAGACCAGATTGCGTTGGCGTGCGCCAACTTTTGATTATTTGAGCCAATGGTTCAAGGGGTAGAGGATATAACAATAACTTGCACTTATATCAATACCTTTCATGCGGGACGGAAGGTTCAAAAAGCTATCGCTAACGTCAACACCGGGAACTGACGATCGCTTACTGTATTTTCAGGAAATTAAAGGGCAGGCCGCAGGGAAAGTGGAGAAGGAGATAAATCAGGGGGAGGATTGAGAAAGGCTCAATCCAATAATCTCATCCAACCCAAAAGCCAAGCAAAGCCAAACCCACTGAACTCATCATCATCATCATGTCCTGCTGCACTCAACTGGGATGGATGTTGCTGCCTCTGCATCTTGTCGGTGGGGTGGGGTGGGGTGGGGGGGGAAGGAGTTCACTGGCACCTCATTTCCTCTTCTGTTCAATCAATAACATAACATAACAGGATTGGATTGATGCAGAGGGTCAACTTTTAAGACTCGCCCTTTTATTAAAGAAAAAAAAGAGGGAGGGAGGGGGGGGAATTCAAAGCACCAACCAAACTGAACAACGACTTCTATAGAACAGAAATCAATGCATATTCCCCCCCCCCCATCTCTCCCTCCCTCTCTCTCCCTCCTCCTCACCCTCTCTCCCTCCCTCTCACCCTCTCTCTCTCTCCCTCCCTCCTCCTCACCCTGTCTCTCCTCCTCACCCTCTCTCCCTCCCTCTCACCCTCTCTCCCTCCTCCTCACCCTCTCTCCTCCTCCTCACCCTCTCTCCTCCTCCTCACCCTCTCTCTCCTCCTCACCCTCTCTCCTCCTCCTCCCCTCCCTCCTCCTCACCCTCTCCCTCCTCACCCTCTCCTCCTCTCCCCTCTCCTCCTCCTCACCCTCTCTCCTCCTCACCCTCTCTCTCCTCCTCACCCTCTCTCCTCCTCACCCTCCTCCTCCTCCTCTCCTCCCTCCCCTCTCTCCCTCCTCCCCTCCCTCCCCTCTCTCCCTCCCTCTCCCTCCCCTCCCTCCCTCCCTCCTAAAACGGGCAATCGTTTGCAAAAGGAATAACTTAACAGCGAATACCAACCTACCTGGAAATAAACGACTTGCAGTATTTTTTTTCTCTGTCTCTCTCTCTCTCTCTGCCCACCACCAGCTCCCAACACACACACACACACACACACACACACAAACCCCCACACACACAACCCCCCCCCAACACACACACCACAAGGGCTCAAATCAAATCCCCTTCTGTTTGGGAAAAATGGCTATATAGGGGCTCCACATTGACGTGACGTGACGCCCTTCGACGACGACGACAACAACAACGGCGGCGGCGCGCGGTCCCCCCTTCACCACAAAGTGCCGTCAAACCCGGGCCCTCGGCACCTCCAACTGCCACAATAACCTCCTCCTCCTCCTCCTCTCACACTCACTCCCTCACACACTCCCTCCCTCACAAGTACTGACACACTCGACTCGACACACAAGAGAGGCCAATTGCGGCGACTGAGGGAAAGGGTTTGAATTAACCGTCACCCCCTCCACCAACCGTCACCCCCACTCCCCCCCCCACTCCCGCCGCCCCGAGTCGTTGGCTCAATTGCAATGGGCGCAGCCGCTATCACAAAGCTCGGGCCGACCCCCACCCACCCACCCCGCCTCAGGCCTAAGCTGTCCCCCCCCCTCTCCTTTCTTTCCCAACTCCCGCTCCCCCCCCCTCCGCACCTTCAGTCCCGGCCGCCGTCCGGGGCCCTTTTTTTTGTTGTTGTCCCCCCCCCTCACCCCCTCACCTCCCCGTCCCCTCCCCCCGCAGAAGCGGCGCTTTACGTCGGTCCGGGACGGGGCAAACTTTGCAGCGCAGCGGGAGAGGGAGAGAGAGAGAGGGAAGGAGGGAGAGAGAGGGAGAGAGAGAGAGGGAAGGAGGGAGAGAGGGAGAGAGAGAGATAGAGGGAAAGAGAGGGAGAGAGAGATAGAGAGGGAGAGAGAGATAGAGGGAAAGAGGGAAAGAGAGAGGGAGAGAGATAGGTGAGAGGGGGAAGGTGAGAGGGAGAGAGAGAGAGGGATGGAGAGGGGGAAGGAGGTCGCAGACGGGGGCGGAGGAGAGGAGAGGAGAGAAAAGGAGGAGAGGAGAAGCTGGAGTTCGCCTTGAAAGAAAGCGGCGGCGGCCGCTGCAGCGCGAGGGGAGGTTTGCGGAGGCTTTGCAGCCCCTCCCGGGGGGTGTGGGGGGGAGACACGAGGGGAGGCTTTGCAGCCCCTCCCGCACCCCGGGGTGGGGGGGGGGGGGGGGTCGCGGTTGCCTTTGTTGCCCTGTGTGTGTGTGTCTGTGCTCTCACCTACATTCCACTACTGCAGCCCACCCCCAGCACAACAGCGTTTGCAAAGACAATAAGATGGGGTAGGAGGGAAGGGAGGGGTGTGGGGGGTGAGGGAGGGGTGTGTGTGGGGGGGGGTGAGGGAGGGGTGTGTGTGGGGGGGGGGGTGAGGGAGGGGTGTGTGTGTGGGGGAGGGGTGTGTGAGGGAGGGGTGTGTGTGGGGGGGGTGGGGTGAGGGAGGGGTGGGTGTGTGTGGGGGGTGAGGGAGGGGTGTGTGTGTGGGGGGTGAGGGAGGGGTGTGTGTGGGGGGTGAGGGAGGGGTGTGTGTGTGGGGGGTGAGGGAGGGGTGTGTGTGTGGGGGGTGAGGGAGGGGTGTGTGTGTGGGGGGTGAGGGAGGGGTGTGTGTGGGGGGTGAGGGAGGGGTGTGTGTGGGGGGGGTGAGGGAGGGGTGTGTGTGTGGGGGGGGGGTGAGGGAGGGGTGTGTGTGTGGGGGGGGGTGAGGGAGGGGTGTGTGTGGGGGGGGGGTGAGGGAGGGGTGTGTGTGTGGGGGGTGAGAGAGGGGTGTGTGTGGGGGGGGTGAGGGAGGGGTGTGTGTGTGGGGGGGTGAGGGAGGGGTGTGTGTGGGGGGGGGGGGGGGGTGGGGGGGGGAGGGAGGGGTGTGTGTGTGGGGGTGAGGGAGGGGTGTGTGGGGGGGGGGTGGGGGGGTGTGTGTGGGGGGGGGGGGTGTGTGGGGGGGTGAGGGAGGGGTGTCTGTGGTGGGGGGTGAGGGAGGGGTGTGTGTGGGGGGTGAGGGAGGGGTGTCTGTGTGGGGTGAAAGGGGACTATAAAGCCACATGATTTCAACCTCACCTTCGCCGCACCCTCTCTCTCTGCTGCCCCGAGTCTCTCTCTCTCTCTCTCTCTCTGTGTGTCTCTCCCTTGTCCTCTGGCTGCGGACTTGGCAAAGCGTGTGGTGGGGGAAGCGGATCAGTCCACACACACACACACAGCATTCAGCTCAGCTGAGGACATTCACTCACTCACTCACTCACTCCCCCTCCTGATGTCTGTCTCTCTCTCTCTCTCCCTCCCCCCCTCCTCCTATCCCCCCCTCCCCCCCTCCTCCTATCCCCCCCTCCCTCTCCTCCTGTCTCTCCCTCTCCTCCTCCTGTCTCTCTCCCTCCCTCCTCCTGTCTCTCTCACTCCCTCCTCCTGTCTCTCTCTCCCTCTCCTCCTATCTCTCCCTCTCCTCCTCCTGTCTCTCTCCCTCTCCTCCTGTCTCTCTCTCCCTCTCCTCCTGTCTCTCCCTCACCTCCTCTATCTCCCCCCTCCTTGTCTCTCTCTCCCTCCCTCCTGTCCCTCCTCCCTACTCTTGGTGTCTCTCCCTCCCTCCATCCCCCTCTTCGTGTCTCTCCCTCCCCCCCTCCACCCCCCTCTTCGTGTCTCTCCCTCCCCCCTCCACCCCCTCTTCGTGTCTCTCCCTCCCCCCCTCCACCCCCCTCTTCGTGTCTCTCCCTCCCCCCTCCACCCCCCTCTTCGTGTCTCTCCCTCCCCCCCTCCATCCCCCTCTTCGTGTCTCTCCCTCCCCCCTCCACCCCCTCTTCGTGTCTCTCCCTCCCCCCCTCCACCCCCTCTTCGTGTCTCTCCCTCCCCCCTCCACCCCCTCTTCGTGTCTCTCCCTCCCCCCCCCCTCTTCGTGTCTCTCCCTCCCCCCCTCCACCCCCCTCTTCGTGTCTCTCCCTGGGTCATCTAATCTTCCTTTAAAACCAGCAGAATATGTAGCAATGCAAAAGCCACCTCAAATGCAAAATTCATATTTCACCTACAATGCATAAATGTTTCACATTCACAATCAACCCCCCCCCTCCCCCCACTCCAAAAAGAAAAGTTTACACCACTTACTTCGCGATATTGCAGGTAAATGGATGCATTCAATTCACCGAATACAGTATATTCTGTGCAGCCCTTTGAGACGTCTCGAAGACGTGATAAGATGCCACGTAAAATGCAAGGATTGTTATTACTATTGTTATTGCACAATAGATGCAATATGATCATCTGAATAGGAGTAACGGTACATTTAAATTAAAAAAAAAATCCTGCTTTAATAACCTCCAAACCCAAAACCAATTAATTGCTCCTTTTTGGACAAGGTTAACACCGAGCCAGCTTTACACCAAAACACAAAACATTTAGTTGCAAGTCCAGGTTTAAAGCCTAGGTGCCAACTGAAGACGATTGTAAATCCGCATGGGTCAAATGGGTCAAATTGATGACTAATTTAATATTATATGAAGTGTATTGTATCATCTATATGTACGTATACCCTTTTCCTTGATACAGTTTGTAGATTTCAATTGAATCGTGGCAAAACCAAACATGTTGTTCAAACGTATACCAATAATAAGGTTTTTTTGTAAGTGTATCGTAATATTATCAATAATAAATTTGTTCAAAGGTAAACCAAAAAAGATACAATATTCATGTCAACTCCAATTCCTCTCAAGCTATATTTCCCCACCTTGGGCTTGGCCTGTACCCATCCTACCCTTTGTTTAATTTTAATAATAATCCTTGTGTTTGTTGTAGCACCTTATCACGTCTATGAGACATCTCAAAGCGCTTCACAGAATATACTGTCAAGTGAATTTACTGTATATTTTGTGAGCGAAACACACAATTGTGCACAACACACAATTGTGCACAGCAGTGTCCCACAAACAGTCGTGGATTGGGTAAGCAATTGTTTTTTGAAGGAATATTGGAGTGAGCATGAAGTAACAACCTTAATCCTGGAAGTGTATCTTTATGGAATGGTCTACCAGGACTCTAAGCCCAGTGGGCTTCACTCTAAGCCCTGTACCCTTTGATATGACTCCTTTTCAAATATTCATCCAGTTTCCTATCAAATACTGTTATGGGTCCCAGTTCCAATAGCTACTTGGAGCAGTAAAGGAATGAAAGACACTTAATGTAAAGATATTGGTGTATTAAAGCCTCCTCAGGGTTTGTCATACCCCAGACACAAATAAAATTGATATAGTAATAAAATAAAACAAAAGTTCTATTATTATTTTCTGACCACCACTTTGGAGATAAACAGTAATGGGATAACTATGTCCGGGGGTGGACCCCAAGGAACAATCTTGGGATCTCTGCAGTTCACAACGTTTATAAATGATGTTCATGAAAATACTTCCACAGAAGGAAAGCAGGAAAGAATGCAGATATTAAGCAGTTTTTGTCATGTCCAATAGATGATGTTTTCTTTGTTAAGGATGTAAGACATCAACAGCTGTTTCTGAAGGGCAATTTTGAAAATAATGTGGACTCTGGAACTGCTCATCTTCACCGCTCACTCATTCAAAGTGGACATTAAATAAATGGAGGGGATTTGAAAGACAAACATGATGTCGTGGTGGTAAAGTGAATATGGAGTGTACAGGAGGAGGAAATCAGAGGTCAAGATATTGGGTCGATGGTCAGATAGGTTTATTCGGAAAATGTCAAATATGGTGTCAGATGACTGAGTCTGATCCAGTGAAATAATTTCATTTTCTCAAGTCCTCCCGTCTGTCTCTAATACTGGATAAGCTTAATTAACTGGCAGTTTTGGAATGGTGCAGTTGATGAAATGATGGAGATGCCATTTGCTCTTACTTTTGCAGCTGTTCGTATCCGTGTGTTCATTTTAAAGCAGCAAAATCCAACCGGTATTAATGAAGGCTCAGCATGCCTTCCAACACGACCTGCAATTTTACATATCATACATATGCAAATATATATTGAAATGGTATGAATAACTACTTGATTGTCATTGTCATCCTTGCCAATGTTAAATCGTGACCTACTTTTGTAGTTTCCTCATCAATTTTCTCTGTCAGTGTGCCCCCATTTCCCTTTCTCTCTGAAGGCGTTTAGACTCCTTTTTCCCTTTCTAATGGAGGTCCTGTGCTGCAGATGCTGGGCACCCTCTGGTATCTTGTTAAGTGGTCATTATTCATATGTGAACCTTGACAGTGAGTGTCAGCAGGCTATTACCACAAGGGCACTCCAGCTGACCTCAATCTTGTCCTCGTCTGCACACCCTTCCTCGGGAGTTGCTGGAGAGTGAAGAGGAACAAGAGGGCTGTCCGATTTTGTGCTCTCGAACCCGGTAGCTGAGGCCATTTGTAATGGTTTTGCCACTGCCCAGATTGAAAGCAGCTGACTCAGAATACAGACCAGCGATTGAAATGACCAGAGACCTTCCTGGCCGATTTAAAACAACACAAAAAGTTAATTGCAGCAAGTGTACTGAAAAGATTTAATGTCTACAAAGTCGACAGAAACACTGCAAGCCCAAACCGTGCTATATTAGTTTCAATCAGCAACGCTACAGCTGCTGTTGTTGCTGCATTCCAATAAATTAGCACATTTTAAATTCTCTGCAGCATCTAGAAAATGATTTAACAACAGCTGGTAGAAAACCAATAAACCAGAACCATACTGTTGCCACAATACAAGAACAACAACAATTTGCACTGATATAGTGCCGTTATAGGTATAACATCTCAAAGTACTTTTGGGAAGAGAATTCGGGAGACGTGAAGTAAAATGGCTGTAAGTTTATCTGCCAATGGTCACATGGAGCGCACATGTGGGCAGCTCAGTTGGTGGAGTGAAGGCAATGCACAGGGAAGAAGGATCGAAGGAGATCATAGAGGTAGGATGGGGCAAGGCTGTGGAAGCTTTTGAAGGTAAGTTGAAGGATCTTAAGGCCAATCCGTTAGGGGTTAGGGAGCCGGTGGAGCAGGGTGAGGTTAAGAGGGCTGGGTTCACACAGGGGGATACGGGTTGTGGAGCTTTACAATGTTGCAGTCTAGTTATTTCTGACAATAGTATAGCTGTTTTGGGGCTGATGTACAGTAATTACCACAAGATTGTATTTTCCCCACTGAACACATACACGCTGGACTGATGCATAATAAACACTCAACCATTTGAAAAAAAGAGACAGTCAGACCTGGTTAAAATAAGCCAAATTGCCCTGTTGCAGCTTTTGCTTGAAATGAACCCTAGTTGGTT